ATAAACTGTTTTAATGGATATATACCACTTGAGGATTGTAAAAGCATCTGGAAAAAGCTCTAAACTTATCGGGGATATCTGCGTGTCACAAAACAATAAGATTTGTCAGATGTAGCCTTCAGTTATCGAGTTTTTGGCAATCATTCTGTTGAACCACACCTTCCCATTATTGTCTCTCAACAGCTTACAAAGTCTTCTGCTTTGGCTCATCTATTTCAAGGTTTGATACAGATGTCCATGTGCAAAACACTGTTCACGCAATGAGAAAAAAAAATAAAAATAAAAAATAAATTTATACATATACATACATATATACATACACACACACACACTAATTTATTAGAAAAAGTTAGCCATTCCACAATTGTAGTTGCCAGGCAGGTGTGTTGAGACTGAATTCCTTGGGAAAGGGTTCTAGTTACAAAAATATTTCAGTGGGGCTATTTATATTTAAGATTCTGGAAGGCCTCTGCTGTGCATTTGAGATGTAAACATCTAAAATCAATAATAATGTAAACGGTTTTGCTTTTTTCAATTCTTTGTAGCAGTTTCGACAATTATTATGATATTTATATAGCGCCATCAAATTCCGCAGCGCTTTACAATGGTTGGACGAACAGACATGTAGTTGTAACATAGACAAGTTGGACACATAGGAACAGAGGGGTTGAGGGCCCTGCTCAATGAGCTTACACGCTAGAGGGAGTGGGGTAAAATGACACAAAAAGGTAAGGATGGTATTAGACTAGTGACAGTTGCAGAAGAGGAATCAGTCAGGAGCTATTAACAGTTTAATTGATACGCTTTTATGAAGTGGGTTTTTAACGATTTTTTGAAGGAGTGGAGACGGCAGCACAGGCGGTCAGCTTAGGTCGCACTGGCCCTGGGGGCACAAGATCCGACTGATCAGCAGGAGGGGAGCGCATTGCACAGCGCTCCCCTTTTGACGGTCTCTGAATGTAGTGTGGCCAAGCGAGAACCTTCAGTAACCCCTACCCTGGTCTCACAGAAAGAGCACAGAACTGCTTCCTGTGAAAGCAGAGAGAGGTTACCTAATCTTCCCTACCCAGGTCCGGGGCTTGGCCACGCTACAAGAGGGAGACATCCGCCCATCTGTGTGACTTTTTTAACCTCTTTTGCGCATCTCGTTCAACCCTTCCCTGTCCCCTCTATGTCTCTTTATTTCCCCAGCCCCTCTGGCCGTTTCCCCTAGCCCATGTTTGTCTCCTACTCTTTCCCCAGATGCTCTGTCTTTTTTTCCCCCTGCATCACTTATGTGCCTTTTTGTATCCCGCCCCAGCACCTCTGTGTGTCTCTTTCTCTCCCCAGCCCCCCTTGTGTGTCTTTCTCTGCTTTCTAGTTCCTCTGTCGTTTTTGCCCCAGCATCTTGTCTCTTTCTCCCCCAGCCACTCCATGTGTTTCATTCCTCCCAGCCCCTTTATTCCATGAGTAATTGCCCCCCCGCCCCAGACATCTCATTCCTCCCCATCCCCCTACATGTGCCCCATTCTTCCCCTCCATGTATTTTTTGTTTTTGATTGTTTGAGCCATCACATTCTATGTTTCTTTGTTTCCTCACCTCCCTCTTGTAGCGTGGCCAAGAGTGTAACCTCTCCCCAAGCTCACAGGAAGCAGTTCTGTGCTATCAGGGAGCACTTTCTGCGAGACCGGTGTAGAGATTACAGAAGCTCCTCTCCCCCAATCCGCGCTTGGCCACACTACATTCAAAGAAATGCAGAAGAGCAGCACTGTGCAGTACGCTTCCCTCCTGCTGTTCAGTCAGATCTTGCACCCCCCAGGCTGGTACACCCTAAGGCAGCCACCTGTGCAGGCTTATGGTAGAGCGGCCCTGCATATAGGTGGAGCTGGGGGAATGATGCACATATGGAAGGAAGGGGAGGAATGAGGCACATATGGCGGAATGGAAAGAATGAAGCACATACAGTGGGAGCTTGGGGAATGAGGCGCTTATGGGGGGGGAAGGGGAGGAATGAGGCACCTATAGAGGGAGCTGGGAGGAATAATGCACATATAGGGGCTGCTAGGGGAAGGAAAAGATTGAGGAATATATGGTAAAGTATATAGGGGGAAGGGTAGGAATGAGGCACATGTAGAGGGAGCTGGAAGGAATGAGGCACATATAGGGGGAACGGGAAGAAGGAGACCCATTGTACAGAGCTACAGAATTTGGCGCTATATAAATAATTTTAAAAACTAATATATAGGGGCAGGAGAGGAATGTGGCATATATGGGGGAAGGGGAGGAATGAGGCACATACAGAGCTGGGGGGGAAATGCGACACATGGGACAGGGAGAAAATGACGCATGGAATGAAGGAGCTGTGGGGAGAACACATGGAGAGGCTGAGGTTGGAAACAACGTTCTGGGAAGGGGAGAAAGACACACAAAGGGGGCTGGGGAGAAAGACAGAGGTGCTGGGAAGGGTACAAAAAGGCACAGAGTGGCTGGAGAAAGATACAAGGTACTGGGGGAAAGTGACAAGGGGGATAAAGACAGAGTGGATGGGTAAGGGTAGACAGAGATACACAAGAGGGGATAAGAAATTCAAGAGGGGGATTAAGGGACACAGATTAAGATGCATTTTACATCTTCACCTGTGTAGCCAAACATGTTGCACCAGCCCTGTTCAGGATTATATTTAAAAGAAAAATGCAAAGAAAAAAAAAATAATTTAGCACCCAGATAGAAAACAGATCTGATAACCTACACTATATTGTTGTGATATCAATAAATGTCACTAATTTGAAGTCCATGTTACCAATCAGGGGTTCTAAAGTATAATAAAAATTAAGAAAAAAAATAAAAATGGACCTTAATGAAGAAACAAGATGTATTATTTACCCACGAAGTAGAGGATGCTGAAAATGTGTTTATTTTAAGAATGACAGAATGTAATTAAGGCATACATGAAACAAAGGGGGAAAAAAAAAAAAAATACATTCCATTGAAAATGGCTGCATAAACAAAACAAGCGAAAAGGCAACGCAGAGCAAAAAGATGGGAGGGGCTCGGATAGAGGAAAGGAAACTTTTCTCCGTTGCTCAGCCTTGCCTGTAATAGGACACGATCCATCCTGTGGGGGAAGGGACCGTACTGCTGTGTTTAATCCCCAAAAACCATTCATAGCAGCTCAGTTCCACCTCTTTTATTAGCCTTCTGCTTTAAGCACAATGTAGCGACCGAATGATCTGAACGTAGAGTTATAGATTTTTTAAAAAGAGGCTGACGCCAGTTAACTTGTAGTTAATTGGGATACAATGTAACAATGTAATTCGAATAATGATTAATATGCACAAAGAATGGTCTGCAACTAAAAGCAGACAGTCAATATCCCCTCACTTCTTCTCCCTTTTTAAAAGGACAGCAGCTGTTAGCAAACAGTTTATGGATATCCAACTAGTCATCCTGTTCTGGAACACTAAAAAGAAATCACGCTTCCAGGGATTAATCATCGGACATCAGATGTACACTTTTTTTGTTGACACTATTTATATGAAAATACTTTTCTTCCTAGTAAACAATTAAACATTCATGTAATTTAATCACGATACAAAAAAGAAAACCACACACACACACATCCTGTGTTATATAATTATGGCACTATATAACATTAGCATAATACCAGACAGGAAGGTTCGTGCATGAAAATATATACATTGAAGTTATTTTATTACTGGTATTTATAAAGCGACAAACTTATTCTGAAGCGCTGTACAACTGGGAAAAGGACAATACAATAAGAACAGACCGATACAACAAGTAGTTATGTGATCACATTTGGTTTTAGTTGCTACAATAGATTTAATTCACCTACATTTGCCAAAATAACCCTTCATGAATCACTACTCCAGAGAAAACCAAAAATATGCCAACACCAAGCCACAGAATTCCACAATTAGATGTTTTGACTATGTCAGCCATTTGTTGATGCACCCTTTGTCCTTTACAAAAATGCAGCAATGTTTATGGTGTACAAATTTGAATTTTATTACCAGAGGAAACAATAACAATATAAATAATATATAGCACTGCAGGTTATATAGACAGGTATGATTAATTTGCCTCGATATTTGATGGCCTGTTTTAATTACGTTAGAGGTTTATAAAAATAAAAAAAAAAGTCCACAGATAAAGCCTTAGGCCCGATACACTGAAGCACTCTTTTGTATTTCATACAAAATGGAATACCTAGATTAAACAAAGAACAGACAACCCTTACAATTATATGAATTGGAAACAAGACATCATGAAAATCATGCAGGTACGTCCTCGTGCCTTTCTTAATATTCTGTAATTTGAATAGATATTCAGAATGTGTGGTCAGGTTATTTGCTGTTTCCTGTTACACAATTAGCCATCCTATTTCACCATTTACCTTCATCACTACGGATTATCACTATCAATTGTAGACTTAAATCAGTTTTGTTTGTCAAGAAAAGTTGCACTGTCAAATTAAGAATTGGACACAGGCTGAAAATGGTATTAAAAAAACAGCAGTGAGTATATTAGTGGTTCCTAAATTCACAAATCATACCTACACTATGTGGACGCTTTGCTACCTTGCAGTATGCAGAATGCATAAACTGTCAAATTATAATTTACATACCTACCATTGTGAAGGTGGAGGGCATCCCATAGAAACTATCATAATCTGTTTTAACCTGATAATATTTGAAAGGTACTATACCATTTTTAAGGGTTGCCCAATACCATGTAGAAAGTGTATGTGTCTAGGAAAACATGGCAAATCAGATAATCCAGGTATGATACACAATGCCCAAGTTAGTGCCTCTAGGATACCCAATATCCTGCTTACCCTACACAATAACAGTATCCACCAGCACTAAAATAACTACTCAAAAACATATTCCTGGCATTCTGCTCTCTGGCATCTTTAGCTACCCTTCCCCCACTAAAAGCCACTCACCATCCCTCCCCCGACCAGCAATGCCACCTACAGCACATCCCCCACCCTGTACCTGAGGCTGTGTACCAGCTACCGGCATGACTCGCTTCCCGGCACACGGCTCGGTTGGACATCTTGGTACCGGAGCCGCCTATGATGCACAGTGTGTGGCTGGGGGAGCGATGTCAGTGTATGTGTGGGGGAGAGCTGTGCCAATGTGTGGGCACGGGATGGGGGAGCTGTATCAGTGCCTGTATGCAGGGGGTGTACTGGGTACACACCCTGTGTGCATGCACTCACTGTGCTCCTTGCCTTGTATCCCGGGTATGTCGGTGGCTATGTGTGTGTGTATGAAGAGGGCTGGATGAATGGTGCAGCCACTAAGAGGAGGAGGAGGACGGAGCAGAACGCTGACACTCCTCCAACGAGAGAGCAGCCATCCATCCAGCAATATTATCATGGCTAGTAATTTCCACAAACCTGGATAATCAGCCTCCATTAAATCTCTCTCTCCCCCCTCCCCCTTCCTTCCTTTATTGCGAGGAACTTCCAGCCCAGGAGATACACAGGGGTTCGAAATCTACCTGTTTTTTATGTGCAAGCAATTCTGATGGAAGGGACACCGAGTAAATATGAGTACCTTTCTTGTGCTGTTTTTTTTTTTTTTTAACTACAATGAAGCTATAACTTGTTTGATGGTTGATTTTAATTTCACTTTGGTGCCTTTATTTCCTAGTATCCCAAAAAACAACTGTGTAGACTGAAAAGATGGGAATATGAGGAACACAAAAAGGCCCTGGCAGCAGGATTAATACATTCATAGGCCCATCCAGCAAGATTAGAACCGAGCAGAAAGGGAGGAGCTGGAATGATAGAAAAAGTACTCGATGAGGTTTGAGCCTAGTAAGTCACCGTACAAGAGGCTGTGTGGGAGGAGATCATAGGGATTGCCCCCTCTGGGCGGGGTTTTCTCGGTTTGCCGGTGATGACGTCAGAGTCTAGGGGTAAAGGCGGTGTTCTAGATAGAACAGCGGGGTGGGACTATGTCTGAGCACAGTGTGCCAGGGGATGCTGAGAAATATATATTCGAGTATAAGCCGAGGCCCCTAATTTCACCACAAAAAAATGGGAAAACTTATTGACTCGAGTATAAGCCTAGGGTGGGAAATGCAGCAGCTACTGGTAAATTTCTAAATAAAATTAGATCCCGATAAAATTACATTAATTGAATATTTATTTACAGTGTGTGTATAGAATGAATGCAGTGTGTGTTTGTGTAGTGTGTAAACTGGGTGAGGGGAGGGCATTTTTATTTTAATATTTGTATTATTTTTTTATTTTTTTTTTGTCCCCCCTCCCTGCATGTTGCCTGGCCAGGGCGGGGGGCTATGTGAATCCCTGGTGGTCCAGTGGGGGGGCTGGCAGCGAGCTGTTACTTACCTTCCTGCAGCTCCCTCTCCTCTGTGCAGCTCCCCTGTCAGCTCCGTTCTGCTCCCAGTGTAAACCTTGCGGTCTGTGTGCTGCGCGGAGCGTTGCCACGGTAACCCGTGGCAACACTGACGGCCGCGGGTGTCGCGAGATTTACACTGGGAGCAGAACGGAGCTGACAGGGTTGCTGCATGGAGGAGAAGGGAGCTGCAGGAAGGTAACAGCGCACTGCCAGCCCCCAACAGGACCGCCGGGCTTGAAATGAGCCCGGCGGTCCTGGTCTGTATTATGGCAATGTAAGTTGCCATAATACAGACATTGACTCGAGTATAAATGAGTGGGGGTTTTTCAGCACAAAAAATGTGCCGAAAAACTCGGCTTATACTCGAGTATATACGGTAATCTGGTTTGGTTGAGCATTGCTAGCTGTCACAGATTGGCTGCCTTGTATCTAGGGGGAGACGGGCAGATTTTAGATGCTGAAGTGTATAGTAAGGTCTTGATTCATGACGTGATATTATTATTTATATAGCGCCATCAGATTCCGTAGCACTGTACAATGGGATATAAACTGTTTGAACCATCGCAAGGCAGCTAAAACTATAAATTCATGGAGCAATTTATTTTTTGGCTTAGTACAATGCTATTGGTCTGTTAAATGGTCACATTGGGGGTAAAAGTGTACTTTAGCGTATTTTTTTTTAAATTTTACTCAAAGTAAATAGTGTATTTTATTATTAACAGTCATTATTAAAATACACTTTTACCTTAACTCGTTTAAGTTTGGTTGCCCCCACTCCCCCTAAGGATTAACTAGATAAGCATCACAACTTTAAACCTACTGACTTCACGTTATGAGTGTAAAAGTAAGCAGGCGTCCAGATGTTTAAATCCGCACTAAGAAGAGGGATATGCATATATTCCATGGAGGCTAATGTTGTGACACTATACATGTTTCAAGGAAGGACTGCATTATCTATGGGCTCATCCTGTAACATGTCTGGTCACAGCAAGTCTGAGGCACAGATGTGTGGCTCAGCATTACGGAACTGGCAGTTTACAATAGACTGGCAGTTTTAAGTAATCTGGGGTACAGCCGGTTACCGGGAATAAATCCTACCACTGTAATGACTGTAGGTATTTAGTGTGAAGGTACTTACTGTGCTCCAGGGATAACAATACCCAGCACACAGTGAGTGTCCCCTGACCTGCAGGGCAGATTACAATTTGCCGCAGTCCATGGTGTTAGCGAGTAGACGACCCCTAGCTAACCACATCATGGCAGTGTCTGGATTTTGGAGATGGTATGCTAATAGAGATGCTCTTGTTTTTCGTATATTTGTACGGCGCACCATAATAGCAATGCAAAAAAATAATAATAAAATACACCTGAATGAAACAGCAAATAATAAAATACGTTAAAATACACTTTTACCCTCCTTCAGTACATCTTTGGATAATTAGAAGTATCTAGTTGAATGCAAAAACAAGAACTAGTCTTAGTTATTGGTATTAATATCTGCTAACTTTGCAAGCCCTCCCCTTCTTTCTTTGCCCAGGCTATGTGTGGCTGTCCAATCACAGCCTTCCTTTTCATCTCAAAAGGGAGTCTTTCTTAAGGTAGGTGCTCTGGGCAATTGCCTGCTTCTTGAGTTTAACTCCACTGAGCTAAACACTCCAGGAAGTAACAGGACCTGTTGTTAAGGTTAATGTATAACAGTGCCATTTACTATTACAATCTGCACTTTTATGTAAAATGAAAAACGATGATATACTCGTCACACATAAATCATTTCAGCAAGCTAGTGTGGCAGTTCTGGTGTAACGAGAGTGTCCCTGCAATCTGACAGTTGTAAACACTGCAATTTTTAAACTGAACACTTTAACTTTTAAAATATAGGTTTGCATATCTAATAGAGTGCTTCTTTAAAGCTGATCTGTCAATTTCAGAGTTCTTTGCATATTTCTCAAAACTGATAGATCTGGTGTAGGAGTGGTGGCTGCGGGGTGCAGGGCAGTGGAGTTTTACTTCCCTCTGGCTTTCTCAATCTTTATGCCGGAGGTCTTTTCTGCTCATAGCGCTTCAGCTGCCAGGAGCCACGTCAATGTGGTACTCTTGCAAGACCATGGGATCTTTCATAGACAAAACCTGAATCCCAGAGCCGTCATTTGTGATGTTTGCTGAGATTTGACAAAAGTTGACAATCCCTTTGTCAACCCAGGCTTTTACATAAGAAAAATTATTACAAGGCTAAACAAATTCCAGGTCATAAGACAAAGTATCAGCCTCCCCTGCACTCCCACAGCGGCTGGCTAAGAAAGAATGCAGGTGGGCGGTGAGGGAGTTGTAATCTTCCTGTTCTGTTCCCACGTGCACCCTGCAGTAATGCTTGGTGCTGGAATTTGATTTTATTCTGGCCATGGCATTACTAAACAGTGCACTAGGGAGCAGGGCAACAATAGGTTGAAGATTTATGGCCCCTGGGGAAAGCATACATTCTAGCCCTGCCAAAGGTAGGTAGGCTGGGTGGACTTAAATTAAAAAAACAAAACATAATTTCTGAGTATGTGAGACAATGTGTTTGTGTGTTAGTATCAGTGTGTCTGTCTGATTTTATAAGTGTGTGTCTGAATATGTCTATCAGTGTGTGTCTGACAGTGAGTGTGTCTGTTTAGGTGACTGGCTCCCCTCCAATTGCATGGGAAAGGTGTTTTTACTCACCTTTTTTCCCATGCCGTCCCAGTCTCGCTATTGCTGGCCCAATTCTATGGCTGAGATAATCAATCTTGATGATCTCAGCTAAGCCACACACTTTCGCAGACACATACACACTGGCACAAAGATATACACACTGGCAGATACACACACACTGACAGATACACTGGCACACAGATACAAACTGCCACATGCACACACAGATATACATAGTTACACAGACACACACACAAACACACAGGTTTAGAGATAATGTTTATAGTTGCAGCCACCCTCCTGATAGCTTAAATTTGGTGCTGCTGGTGTGTGAGGTCTGCAGCAGCTCTCTCCTCACCTCTCTTCATCCGTCTCGGCACTTTCTATGTCAGGGAGGAAGTGAGAGCCTGTCACTATCTCCCAGCATTCGATACTACAAGTGCATGGGCCTCCCAATGGGCAAATTGCAGCGGGACACTAACTGGTAAACACTGCTTTAAAGTGTCATTTAATTTACAGAATTATTGCTCTTATGATCGTCCTACTTCCCGACCAACTAGACAAACGACATTTGGGAGATATGAACTACCGACTGGCTGGAGAATTCGCTCCCTAAAAGCCAGGGGGAGTTTAAGTCTCTGTTCGCACAGGAACTCCTGTAAGCCAACCGTCCGCCACCCTCATTTCTCTGGACCTATTTTGAGCCATCACCTCATGGCCGGTCAGTCAGAACTTTACCCGAATGGCGATTCCATTCTACTGAACAGATCGGAGCGCTATCTGGACAACTTGGGCGCTCAGATCTGGGCTATTCGGGGATATTTACTTGTGGGGTTCCTGTAAAATATGAGTGTGTTTTGGGGGTATTTTATGTATGTTAATGTATTTTCCTGTAACAGAGATAATTGAGTTACTCAGTTTTTGACTCAATTATCTCTCCGACAATGGGAGCAAGTTGTAGGTGATCGGCCTCTAGGACGTGATCATAGGGTCCATATCTGGATTAAAACAACAAAAGGCATAAAAAAACAAAAATACTACAATTGGTTTCCAAGGAGGTTTCAGATCTGATGGACACGGGCACTACTAAAGTGATTTCTTGTGAGCAATATTTATGTAGCCACAAGAAAGAAGGCAGTGTCCACCCTATGATAAACCTGAGACAGTTGAAAGGAACCATATTTACATGGTGTGTTCAATAAACAAATGGCAATATTTCATTCTTTGTGTGTTATTAGTTTAAGCAGACTGTGATTGTCTATTGTTGTGACTTAGATGATGATCAGATCACATTTTATGACCAATTTGTGCAGAAATCCATATCATTCCAAAGGGTTCACATCTTTTTCTTGCAACTGTAGTTCTCTGTAAGCTGGTAGAAAGTAACATGCACTCACTTCATCCCAGCAATGTGGCCAAACTACTGATCTGGTAAAAGGACCCGTCCCCCCACACACACAGCTTGTCAGCCTTGATGCAGGCACACCTATGTTAGTTCTGCTGTTGAATGGGGCTATAGACACAAGGGAGAAGGTGGGACATGAGAAGAGGGACACAAGTTGTTGAAAGTGATATGGGGAATCGGACATAAGTGTGTAGAGCAGAAATATGAGGAGTGAGGAAAAACTTGAGCAGCAAAGGAAAAAAAAAATATATTAACAGTGTGCAAAGTAAATTACACTAAAGGCTGTTTCCTTTAATGTTCTAAGAAATTTATGACGTGCTAGTTGTGGCTTGTGGTGGGTTAGTGTATCTTGGACCAGCATAAATCCATATTCTTGGACCAGCATAAAACCATGTTCCCTAAACAAAGTACTTTGTCAAACTGATATTTCCATACTGCTATACTTATATGGTATTTCTATGATAGGGGAAGAAAAAGTGAAAACTTCTCTGTCCGTCTTAGATTTTTGCATCACGGGTTCATACTCATAATGCTGCAGCCATAGTAGTTACTAGGGAGCTAAAAGTCAAAAGACTCAATGTCACGGCAAGGGTGTATGGTTTGTTGTGACACTATGGAATGTCGTCTTTTGATGTGATTTCTTGTAGTGGATGGCACAAATTGCAGAGATGCTGTTGCTGAGGTCAACAGGGGTTGCATCTTTTGAGGCTGGGACCCCCACAGAGGGCGGATGGCGGAGGGGGTGGTGTGAATGGCATGGGAGTGTGGGGGGGATTTTGCTGTGTGGATGTGGGGTCTGCAGGGTGTGGGGTTCTGCACTTGGAGGGGGTCTGGGTGTCTCTTGGTCCATTTGGCCTGTGCTTTGTGGGTGGTGAGTGGATCTCTTTGATGTGTGGATGCCGTTGGCTTTGTTCTGGTGTCGTGTCCAAATGAGGGACAGGGGACATTCATGTTTGCCCCCACGGAGTAATGGTTAAGCCTCATTTTTGTTGTATTTGGAATGTGACAGGCGCCGTCTTCTGGCCGGGTCCGGGCGGGAGTGGCCTGGCTTGACCCTGGGGAGAGGAGTTGTGGTGTCCGTCCTGTTGGATCGTGGGTGGGACGTGCGGCATGTCTATGGAATGGGAAAATGGTGGCGAATTTGTAGATGCAATTGTTGTTTCTGTGGCGGGTGCAAAGGAGGGGATGGGGTCGGGTGTTTCCATTTGGATTGACAGTGGTCTGGAACAGGGGAGGTGGTCAGTTGTTGTTTCTGTGGGTGCGCCTTGGCTCCACCCCTGGGCGGGACTTGGTGGACCGCGGGGTGTGTATCTGGTGATCCTGAGGGGTGTTTGTGTACTTGCTTGGGGCCAAGATCTAATTTTGGGTGAGTCACCATCTTTCCTTGCCAGAGACCCCCTGGACAGAAGTTGTACTTTGAAAACCTAAGTGAGTAATTAGGACTTCTGTATTTTATCCTTTTTGTTTTTATCTGTTGTTGGTGTAACTAATTTGTTTATCATATATTTTTATATGCACTGTGACCATCTTTTGCTCATAATAAACATTCATTTATTAAGTTTTGCCTTTGTCTGGTTAAGAATCACGTTACCTGAAGAGACTAGTTAGTATTTTTATAATTCCTTAAATATTGTGCTAAGTAATATTTGATGGGTTTTTATTATTGATTTACCTGGGGGACCAAGGCACCCCATTTATAAATTGTCTTGGTGGTGGCAGCGTTAAAGTAGTAATAGTTATATTATTATGTTTAAGTGTGGGTGGTGTTAAAGGGGGATTTTGTCATTATTTCCGGTCTAGTGCAGACAAATAGTGTACTTTAACCCTTTCACCACCACAACTACGTCACGCACACTCTTGGAGTAGGGTGCGTTCGTGACAAATTGGTGGCATAGCGGTGGGATAACTAAAAAGATTTTTCATCTTTTTGTACCAGATTTTAGTGTTGCTGGATTTGTTGGTTAATCCAGGCACTAAAAGAAATTGTGTCTCAATTTCCAAAGGCTGAACTCAGTGCATATATAATATATTTACACCTTAACAGTCCCCCCCTTCTCTGTTTTTTCTTTCCTATCTTTTATTTACCAAATGGAGTACCAGGCACAATCCAAGGCAGCGCTAGACCAGCTTTGCCGGGAGAGATCTATTCCCTGTCGGGGAAAAACAAAAGAGGAACTATTGCAAGCACTGGTGGACTATGATATGCAACAAGCAGTGCAAAATGATGCCTCAAACACTGCAGAGGAGATACCTGCAGCTTTTGTCCGTGATGTACCGAGATCTGCAGATCCTTTGGATTGTTACTTACAAACGGTGTTAAAATATGTGGACTCAGCAGATGCAAACCAAAGACTACAGCTTATCCTTCAATATCAGGAGGCTGAGAGAGAGAGAGAGGCTGCTGAGCGCCAAGCTGAGAGGGAGAGAGAGGCTGCTGAGAGGGAGAGAGAGGCTGCAGAGCGGCAGGCTGAGAGAGAGGCCTCTGAGCGACAAGCTGCCAGAGAGCATGAGCTAAAAATGGCTGAGTTAGAGAGGTTGACTGCCTCCCCTATGAGTATTAATTCCAGAGACTCTTCTGCACCCAAACCACGTGCAGAGAATTTTCCAACTTTGGACAAAGATGGTGATTTGGATGTTTTCCTGCGCAGTTTTGAAAAAGTTTGCAGGCAGTACCAGCTGCCAAAGGACCAGTGGGCAAAATACCTCACCCCTGGTCTCAGAGGTCCTGCACTGGAAGCATTTGCTGCGCTTCCAGCAGAATTTGACCAGGACTATGATGCGATTAAGGCTGCCTTGCAGGAACGATACAACCTTACTCCTGAGGTGTACCGAAAGAAATTCAGGACTTTGCAAAAGCATCCCACAGAGAGTTATGCAGCGGTTGTGGGGCACCTGGCGACAGCATTCCGACAGTGGACTACAGGGCTGGAGATTACCACTTTGGAAAGTTTGCAAGACCTGTTAATAAAAGAACAGTTTTTGCAGCTCTGCCCAGCTGATGTACAGGAATGGCTGCTGGACCGGAACCCCAAAACAGCATTGGAAGCGGGTAAGCTGGCAGATGTCCACACTGCCAACCGAGCAACAGTGGACCGGAGCAGAGGGTTTACCAAGGGAACATCCAGCTGGAGGACCACACCACCACGACTCCCCATCACCAGGCCTAGCGGGCCATCTTTTGTTTCAGCTCCTACCTCAGGGAGAGGGGGAGCTAGTGCCATGTCTGCGCAAGGAGATAGTCGCAGATGTTTTATTTGCAACCAAGTGGGGCACATTAGTGTTGCTTGCCCTGGGAAACGGCAGCCAGCATCATCAGCTGGGGAGGGACGCTCCTCAGAACCAACGTCCTCTGTGTTGTTTGTAACCAGATCAGAAGGCAGCAACAATGTGAATCTGCAACCTGTGACAGTTGGAAGAGAGGTAACTGTGGGACTCAGGGACACTGGGGCAGATGTGACTCTTGTGCGTCCAGAGCTAGTGTGCTCTGAGGACTTAATTCCTGGCAGGACTCTAGCAGTTAAAGGAATTGGGGGGGTACGACTTGTAGTGCCAATGGCACGAGTTTATTTGGATTGGGGAGCGGGGAAGGGTTTCAGAAATGTGGGGGTAGATGAGAATATCCCTGCAAATGTATTACTTGGTACTGACTTAGGTAGATTGTTATCCCAGTATGTGCCAGAAAGTAATGTGTGTTATAAACCCAAGCCTCATAGGGGCCCTACTGTGCAGAGGGCAGTATGTGAAAATGAATGCAGACAATTGTGCTGGGAGGGAGGGCAGAATAAGCATGTGTGCGGGTCTGTGCCTGAACCAGAGGTGTCTGCAATATCATGTGAGAGTGTGCCAAGACAAAGTTGCTGGGAGGGAGGGCAGAATGAGCATGCGTGCCAGGCTGTGCCAAAACCAGAATTGTCTGTGGTATCAGGTGAAAGTTTGCCAGGGCAACTTCGCTGGGAGGGAGGGCAGAATGTGTGTCAATCTGTGCCAGAACCAGGGGTGTCCGTGGAAACTTGTGAAAATGTAGGCAGACAATTGTGCTGGGAGGGAGGGCAGACTGAGCATGTGTGCTGGTCTGTGCCTGAACCAGAAGTGTCTGCAATATCATGTGAGAATGTGCCAAGACAAAGTTGCTGGGAGGGAGGGCAGAATGAGCATGTGTGCCAGGCTGTGCCAAAACCAGAGTTGTCTGTGGTACAAGGTGAAAGTTTGCCAGGACAACTTCACTGGGAGGGAGGGCAGAATGTGTATCAATCTGTGCCTGAACCAGGGGTGTCTGTGGAAACAGGTGAAGGTGTATGCCGGCAATTGTGCTGGGAGCGAGGGCAAATTGAGCATGTGTGCGTGTCTGTGCCAGCACTAGGGGTGCCTGTAATACCATGTGTGAGTGGGCAAAAACAGCTGCACAGCGAGGCAGGGCTGGATGAGCATGTGTGCCTATCTGTGTCAGAGCCAGGGTTGTTTAAGATGACATGTGAAAACACAAGTGGATCAAACCATTGGGAACCAGGGCAGGATGAGTTTATGTGTTCACCTGTATCTCAGTCAGGAGTATGTCAGGTGCCAGAACAAGGACAAAGTGAGTGGCTATGTGAGATTATGGAAGGATGGCCTGGCTGGGAGAGGAAATTACGTGAGTGTGTTTCACATCCAGTGCCTGACCAAGGGGTGCTAAAGGTGTTATGTGACAATGTGCAGGAAGAGAATTCTAGGGAGAGAGGGTTGAATGAATATGTGTGCCAAAATCTGCCTGACGCCAATGTATTGGCTGGGCTCTGTGAAAGTGTGGAGGGAGAGCATGGCTTTGAGGGAGGGCAGAGTGTGTGTGAGCCTTACTCTGCACAAGACTCCCAAGGTGCTGTGTGTGTGAGGACATGGAGTGGAGGTGAGGGAGAGACAGAGGTTCCATCATTAGATAGGGGGACCCGTCCACGGTCTGCCCAAAGTGAGGGGCATGGACAGTCTCAACCTGTGGGTCCAGGGAAAATGGCCGCAGGGGAACATACTGATGGGGGAACCACCATCCTTGTCAGCATATCACAATCACACCTCCAACATACACCCAAGCCAGCTCAGGAGAAGGCGTCTGTCTCTAAGCAACTTTTTGATTCTGAACCAAAGGTTCAGAGTAAAAAGGTGCAACGAGCCCAGCAGACAGACCACAAAATAAAACAGATAAGGAGTGTGGATACAGTGCAGGTACCCTGGGAGTGTCCTCTGTCTCATCTTGTGTGTGCTTACAGGGGAGTACTGCAGAAATCGGTTGGTTTCTTCCCCTTAGAGCTACTACACGGGCGCAGTGGGTGTGGCCTGAGAGATGTGATCAGAGCGCAGTGGGAGATGGAAACAGGCAAATCAGGCATGCGTGTTGTGGATATGGCTTAGGGACAAAGGGCAAGCCTTTTTGGGGGAGGTGTGTGAACACGTGAGGGTTACCCCATTCATGTAGAACCAGAGTTCTGAAAAAGATGAGTATATGAGGTGGAGGCAAAAAAGGAACAAGTGTTGATACACAAGGTAGAGGCATGTGAGCCTTCTCCCATTGCGTCTCTTATTTGGGGGAGGTGTCACGGCAAGGGTGTATGGTTTGTTGTGACACTATGGAATGTCGTCTTTTGATGTGATTTCTTGTAGTGGATGGCACAAATTGCAGAGATGCTGTTGCTGAGGTCAACAGGGGTTGCATCTTTTGAGGCTGGGACCCCCACAGAGGGCGGATGGCGGAGGGGGTGGTGTGAATGGCATGGGAGTGTGGGGGGGATTTTGCTGTGTGGATGTGGGGTCTGCAGGGTGTGGGGTTCTGCACTTGGAGGGGGTCTGGGTGTCTCTTGGTCCATTTGGCCTGTGCTTTGTGGGTGGTGAGTGGATCTCTTTGATGTGTGGATGCCGTTGGCTTTGTTCTGGTGTCGTGTCCAAATGAGGGACAGGGGACATTCATGTTTGCCCCCACGGAGTAATGGTTAAGCCTCATTTTTGTTGTATTTGGAATGTGACAGGCGCCGTCTTCTGGCCGGGTCCGGGCGGGAGTGGCCTGGCTTGACCCTGGGGAGAGGAGTTGTGGTGTCCGTCCTGTTGGATCGTGGGTGGGACGTGCGGCATGTCTATGGAATGGGAAAATGGTGGCGAATTTGTAGATGCAATTGTTGTTTCTGTGGCGGGTGCAAAGGAGGGGATGGGGTCGGGTGTTTCCATTTGGATTGACAGTGGTCTGGAACAGGGGAGGTGGTCAGTTGTTGTTTCTGTGGGTGTGCCTTGGCTCCACCCCTGGGCGGGACTTGGTGGACCGCGGGGTGTGTATCTGGTGATCCTGAGGGGTGTTTGTGTACTTGCTTGGGGCCAAGATCTAATTTTGGGTGAGTCACCATCTTTCCTTGCCAGAGACCCCCTGGACAGAAGTTGTACTTTGAAAAACCTAAGTGAGTAATTAGGACTTCTGTATTTTATCCTTTTTGTTTTTATCTGTTGTTGGTGTAACTAATTTGTTTATCATATATTTTTATATGCACTGTGACCATCTTTTGCTCATAATAAACATTCATTTATTAAGTTTTGCCTTTGTCTGGTTAAGAATCATGTTACCTGAAGAGACTAGTTAGTATTTTTATAATTCCTTAAATATTGTGCTAAGTAATATTTGATGGGTTTTTATTATTGATTTACCTGGGGGACCAAGGCACCCCATTTATAAATTGTCTTGGTGGTGGCAGCGTTAAAGTAGTAATAGTTATATTATTATGTTTAAGTGTGGGTGGTGTTAAAGGGGGACTTTGTCATTATTTCCGGTCTAGTGCAGACAAATAGTGTACTTTAACCCTTTCACCACCACAACTACGTCACGCACACTCTTGGAGTAGGGTGCGTTCGTGACACTCAAATCTTAAAACATCAACCAGTTCCTATCTGAGTGCTAAACCTATTGCTGTCTTACAGCGAGTTAGTGTTTTCACACACACCAGCTAAATTCTACAAAGATAATTAAAATGCTTATTTTAAAACTCCTTTAGGCACATGCACAATATAAAAGTTCATATGATTTGCACATCTCAATTCCTTAAAATGCACTAGCAGGAACACTCCAAATATCATAACCTCTAAAGCCCAGTGTAGTAGTTATGGTACCAGGAGTCTATTCAGTGTTACAATATTTTAGAGCAGTTTAACACTAAATAAGGGTCATTGACTACCCACAGTCCGTCCCCTTCTGGATGTGTGGCTAAGGCAGAGATTCCTTGTTGTCATGCCTATTCATACCGTCAGTTGGAGCTCTGATAGGCTAAAAGGGTCAGCTGACAGTCTCAGCCAATCACAGTCGCTTATTACTGCTCAAGCTAATACTTTCTCATTAGCCAAAGGCACACAAAGGAGATGGGCTGCCAGGGACTGTCATTTAGCATGAAAACATTAACATTAACTGTTTAATGCTGAATGAAATAACAGTACCAAGGAATTCCAGACACTATAATCAGTTTAATGAGATGAAACTGATACAATGACTACAGTGTTCCTTTATTATTTATTTATAAAATATTTTACCAGGAAGATACATTGAGATTTCTCTCGTTTTTAAGGATCCTGGGTCCACGAAACATTGCATTGATATTTGCACAACTGAAGTTTTTTGTTTTTGTTTTTTTTATATGCACATGTAAACTAGAGTAACACCTGTTGTGCCTGTACTTAATTTAAATACTCCAGTTTACAAGAAAATGCACGAAGATTCACGGGGTGACAGTACCCCTACAACATGGAAATGTAGTGTGTAGGTACATTTTTACTAATTTCTGCTCCCTTATTTAACCCAATAAATGATGCAATAGCTTTTACTGAGGAGGGGATAAAGTATTATCACATCCAGATACAAATTAAAGCATATCACTTTGATTGCAGTCCAAAACTCTGAAGGTACATTTTGGTCATACATTGGCACATTTTCACCCCCAGGAGATCAGTGTACTGTCTGTGAGGGCAGACACATGGTCACTTTGTTCTTTGCTGGCAGAAAGACTGACACCCAGCCGTATGCACATTCCTATTGATGTGAGTCTCTTGCCTTCTATTTCCTGTAGCAATCGGTATCACGTGTTATCTCCTGTCACCTGACTGCAGTGACATCACAGGGCCTCTAGCTGGATGGGAAGTAGCCGCTATCAATACTATAAGGTATAAACTCCTGTCTTCCCTGTGTAGTTCACTCTTGGCAATGTCTTTTGCTCTGTAATTTTGTGTATATTCCTGCGTTTATGCCTTTCACAGGCTGGGTGTGTATGTTTGCCAGTTTCAGATTTTGTGTACATCTACCAGTCTCTAGTTGTTTGCTTATATATCTCATCTCAGGCTGTATGTGTATAAATGCCACTTTTAGACTATGGATGCTTTCTGTGTGTGTATTTGTCTAGCTCAGTCTGTATGTGTATATCTGTCTTAGGCTTTGTATGCAGATGTATGTTCCAGGAGGTGTGGGTTTGTGTTGGTCTTGGTGTGTATAAATGTCTGACTTACCCTGGGCTGCTTGTATATAGGCTTGTCTCAAGTTGTGTGTGTATATACTGCTGTAAGTGTATATATAAAAAGTGTATATGGCTTGTCTCAGGCTGTGTGTTTAAAAATCTGACAGATGCTGAGCGTGTTTATGACAGTCTTGGGACTTGTGTATATATGCTCGTCTCAAGCTATGTGTGTTTATGCAAGTCTTAGGCTTTGTGTGTCTATGTCTCTCTCGGGCTATGCATGATAAAGTGGCTACACATTACTTACTTCTGTTGTTTGGAAACCTCTGAAAAACAAGCTTCGCAACTGACTAGAATATCCGAATGCACTGTAGTTGGCGTTTATAACTTTTATCCTGAAGTATGTAGTGTCTAATTTTATACTAACCCAACGCGATTGTTGACTACAAAATTAATAAAAGGAATGGAACATTATCTTTGAAGAAAGATTAAGAAATTTAAACCTCTTTAGTTCAGAAAACCATAGCCTCAGAGGGGATTAGATAACATTATACAAATATATCCGTGGCCAATACATTGTCTGGAAATCTATTCACAAACCGTAGTATACATAGGTAACAAGGTGATGTGTTGAGCCTGGAAGAAAGAAGACTTGGTCTGAGGCTTAAATTTGTGTGTATGCCTCTGTTGGTGTGTGTTTTTATGTCTCTCTTAGTGTGTGTGTCTGTATGCCTCTGTCAGTGTGTGTTTGTGTTTGTCTGTTTAGGGCCCCCCTCCGATCACATGAGAGGTGTTTTTTACTCACCTTTTTTCCCACGCCGTGCCAGTTTTTCCGCGGATTTGTTCTGCGTCCATAGCTGAGATAATTAATCTTTATGATCTCAGCTAAGCCTATGCTTACGTAAAGGGAAGCATTGGGAGGATATTGCGCATGATCTCTATGGGTAAAATTCAACGCCTCCATGGAGAAGCTGAACATAGGTGCTGCACACAGGACTCTCTAGTGGCCGTCTGATTGACTGTCACTAGAGGGCTTACCATATATACTCGAGTATAAGCCAAGTTTTTCAGCACATTTTTTTGTGCTGAAAAAGCCCCCCTCGGCTTATACTCGAGTCAAGGTCTGTATTGTGGCAACTTACATTGCCATAATACAGACCTGGACCGCCGGGCTCATTATTGTTGGGGGCCGGGAGCAAGCTGTTACTTACCTGTGCAGCAGCTCCATTCCCTGTGTAAATCTCGTGGTCTGCGTGCCGCGCGGAGCGCGAGATTTACACAGGGAGCGGAGCTGAGCTGAACGGAGGTGAACGGAGCTGCTGCACAGGTAACAGCTTGCTCCCGGCCCCCCTCCTGCACAGCCCATGCCACTAGACCACCAGGGATTGAGATAGCCCCCCTCCCTGGTCAGACAACAAGCAGGGAGGGGGGACAAAAAAAAAAAAGAAACAAATAAATATTAAAATAATAAAATATTAACAATATTAAAATAATGCAATATTAAAGTAAAAAATGCACCTACCAGTTTACACACACTACACAAACACACACTCTGCATTATATACACACACACTGTATTCACACAAACACACACTCTGCGTTATACAAACACACACACACACTCTGCATTATATACACACTGCATTAACACAAACACACTCTGCATTATATACACACACTGCATTCACACAAACACACACTCTGCATTATATACACACACTGCATTCACACACACACACTGTGCATTATATACACACACTGCATTCATTATATACACACACTACACACAAACACACACTGCATTCATTATATACACACACTACACACAAACTGCATTCATTATATACACACACTACACACAAACACACACACTCTGCATTGGGGATCTAATTTTATTTGGAAATTTACCAGTAGCTGCTGCATTTCCCACCCTAGGCATATACGCGAGTCAATACGTTTTCTCAGTTTTTTGTGGTAAAATTAGGGGCCTCGGCTTATATTCAGGTCGGCTTATACTCCAGTATATACGGTACTAGGCAGCAACGTAAACACTGCCTTTTCTCTGAAAATGCAGCGTTTACACTGAAAAGACTACAGGAACAGGCTATAGGTACAAGAACAACTACATTAATTTGTAGTGGTTCTGTTGACTATAGTGTCACTTTAACAATGGCATATTTCTTGTTGTAAATTAAACTTTGCTAGTTGAAAAAAAAAAACTGTCTCCTAACTTTTTTAGCTGGCTCCTAGATTCCAAACAAATTTGTCAAGCCCACTGTAGCGGGACCTGGGTAACCCGGCTGGTTATCCCCTTTCTTAATAATAGGTCAGACCCATTTCCCCCAGTAACTGGACGGCACACAGTTCCAGGGTACAACTTTTGACAATCTTTATTTGGGCACACAGCTTTTTATGCACAGACCCCAGGAGGGGGTCTCCATCCAACACAACACAATCCCAGGCAGAAGGGGGCTGGGTGACAGATAACCATCTCCCGTTCTGGGAGATACTAACAGGACACAGGGACACACATTACATGGGGGGGGGTCTTTGGGGCTCGGCACCCCGGGACAGAAAGGGGATACAGGGTTAAAACTTATATCGATAAATAGCCCCAGGTCCCACCTGGGATCCCTGCAAAAAGTGGGGCGATCGGATGTACAGAGCCCGAGATATCAGCATCCAAAGTCTGGGTCTCAAAGCTCTGTACATCCCCGAAATTAGTTCCAGGGAGTTGCTTGGTTTAGTCCGGCGAATTCAAACTTCACGCCAATCAGCACTCGGGAGGGGAAGGAGTTTCTCCGCCGAATCTGACGAAAGGGTGCGAAACTCTATTACTCCAATCAGCGCCCAGACGCGAGAGGGGCTTCGCCGCCATGCTCTGATTGGTCTCAGGCGCCGCTTGTTCCCTTGCGGTCTGCGTTTTCACACCATGCTAACATTCTAACTAAACTTTCAGGGTGGTCTGGCGCATGGGACTCTGTGCGCTGGAGCGCCCCTGTGTGGTTAAAAGGTATTTTGCAGGATTTAAGGGGAAAATTACAAAGGGGGAGCACATATTCCAGGAGGGCATATCCACACGTAGAAAAAGGGCAAGTCACAGTTAGGCTGCGGTCCCGCCACAACCAGCCCATATTGTCGTTTAGTTTCTACAATTGGTGCTCACCAGGGGTGTATTTACCGCGAGGCTGACAAGGCATTTGCCTGGGCGGCACTTTCTGGGGGGCAGCAAAAAAGCTGCTCCCAATCGCCCTGGCAAATGCCTTGCCAGCCTCTTGTCCTGGGGGGCCCAGGAGCTGGCCGGCTGGCGGTGAGGGAGCACTGATCCTCTTGTTCAGCTCCCTCCCACACACCGCAGTGATGCCGGAGCCGGAATATGACGTCACTCCGGCCCTAGCATCACTACGCAGTGCGCGAGGGAGCTGAACAGGGGGATCAGGGCTCCCTCGCCGACTGCAGTGAGCAGCCAGCCGCCCAGCAGCCCCACTGGACCCCAGGGAAAGCGAGAATCCACCCAGCTCTTCCAAACGTAGGGAGGCTAGGGGGATTGATTTTTTTTTTTATTTATTTTTTTTAAATGTGTGTTTGCGTCTGTTAGTGTGTGTGTCTTTTAGGGAGTGTGTTACTATGTGTGTGTCTGTTAGTGTGTGTGTCAGAGAGTTAGTGTGTATGTGTGTCTGTTAGTGAGTGTATGCCTGTGAGTATGTTAGTGAGTGTGTGTCTGTTAGTGTTTGTGGATGTCTGTTAGTAAGTATGTGTGTGTGTGTGTGTGTTAGTATGTGCGTGCATGTCTGTTAGTGAGTGTGTGTCTGTTAGTGAGTGTGTATGATGTCTGTTTGCTAGTGTATGTGTGTCTGACACTGAGTGTATATGTCGGTCAGTGAGTGTGTATGTGTATTTAGAAGGTGGGGGGGTGCCTGAGTTTTGTCATGCCAAGGGCAGCACAAAACCAGGATACATCACTGGCTCACATACAAAATGTATAGTCTTACTGGAATAAATGTAAGGTTTGTATCAAGACAAAAAGGGTTGTTCTTTGTGATTTGATATATATCTTGCAGAATTCATGTTGAGAGATTGATTCAGTAAAGACACATTTAACACTCTGCTTCTACATATTGCAGAGCAGTTTCTTGTTTTGTGAATCTAACTTTCTTTTTATTAATTGTTTCATTCAATAAATCTTTCATTTTTAAATATGCATTCTAATTTATTTCAACTATGTATGGGGAACATAATCTTCACTTGATCCAGTTTTCTTAACATGTGTATGAGTTGTATGTCTGTGTGTGTGAGTCAGTCTTTGTGCTTATACATAAAGGTCTGCAAGTGGTACCATAGAAGAATAAAATAACTATGTACCAAAGATTTACAAGTTTGACAACAAAATTATATTTGAACTTTATTTTACTTATGGTATAAAATAAAGAAATCAATGTATTGAAAATGGCCTGCTTTTAATTAAATGCAGAGCTTATTTTTATTCGCTGTAAGGCCCAGTCACAAATCATGCTTTTAAATAAAAAGATGCTGCTTCAGCCCCATATATGTCAACTTCTTATCCAAAATAGACTCAATTAGTCTACTGTAGTTTGGAAGACTGTTAAAATCCTTTCTGCCTGGCAAGTTCCCTTCGAAATAGCGCACTTCCTATTTTAAAGGGACATTATAGTCACCAAAACAACTTTAGCTTAATGAAGCAGTTTTGGTGTATAGAACATACCCCTGCAGCCTCACTGCTAAATTCTCTGCCATTTAGGAGTTAAATCCCTTTGTTTGTGAACCCTAGTCACACCTCCCTGCATGTGATTTGCACAGCCTTCCTAAACACTTCCGGTAAAGATTCATCTAAAGTTCATTCTTCCTTTATTGCAAGTTCTGTTTAATTTAGATTTTCATATCCCCTGCTATGTTAATAGCTTGCTAGACCCTGCAAGAGCCTCCTGTATGTGATTTTAAAGTTCAATTTACAGAGCAAGAGATACAATTGTTTAAGGTAAATTACATCCGATTGAAAGTCAAACCACATTTTTTTTCCACACATGGCTGCATAAGCCATAAACAGAAACAAAATGATTTAACTCATAAATGGCAGTGAATTGAGCAGTAAAACCTGAGAGGCATGATCTATACACTAAAACTGCTTCATTCAGCTGAAGTTGTTTAGGTGACTATAGTGTCCCTTTAACCTTTGCCAATGTTATGCCTCTGAATGTTGATTATTTTAAAAGAAGTCCGTATTGTCCGTATTGTAAGCTGTGCCATCTTTTGCTAAACGTAAAGCTGTGTTACTGTTTCCTTAATGTTGTAAAACTTTGCCCCTGATGGCTGAATTTTGTAAGTTCCACTAATTGCTGAGTATTGTTACACTTCAATAATTTATGAATATTGTAAGATGGTACATCATGAGCTGTGCCACTGTTTGGTGAGTCATACAGGCTGTGTCACTGACAGCTGAATAAGTAAGGCTTGAGCTATTGTTTGCAGAATTATCTGTGCTATTGTTTGGCAAATATTGTAAAACTAATGACTGAATATTGTAAGCTGTGCCATTGGAGACTGAATATTCCTATGTTGTGCCACTGATGGCTGTAAAATTGCTGCTGTATGTGGTAAGGATGTGCTACAGTTTTCAGACCATTGTAAGATGTTCCACTGTTTGCTGAACATTATAAAACTGTGCCTCTGATTATTGAATATTGTTAGGTTTATTGAACAGGGAGTCACATCTCACTAGTTGTTGTGTATTTGGGATTAAGTGGGCAAAATGCAATTCAATAAATTGGTGTGGAGGTTTTTCTGAGAAAGAGGAGTAGTCAAATTCCAGGGTTGGTCTAGTCTAGTGCCTCACTATCTAAAGCAGGGGCAGGTAACCTGGTCCCTACCGCCCACTAGTGGGCGGTTCGGGATTTCAGGTGGGCGGTGGTGGGTTCTGCAGAAAGCGCGCAGTGGGCCTCGATAGCCATGGACCAAGGCCGGCAGGGGAGATCCTTTCATCTCCCCTGCCGGCCCATGCAGAACCAGCCTTGCTGTAAGCCCTCTTGGGCTGGTGAGGAGATCAAAGATCTCCCTCACCTGCCCACTGGCACTTAGTTCCAGCAAAGGGAGGGAAGAGCCTGGGAGGCTCTGTTTTCCTCCAGTGAGCAGGCTGGTCAGAGCTTTTCTGCACGTTACCATGGCAACGCTCCAATACAGTGCTGTGCTTGCAGGAGGAACTGCAGGCTAAAGTGAACATGCCACCACTGGACCACCAGGACTTGCAGCATTATGGCCCCCCTTGTTAAAAAAAACGGTAAGAAGGAGGGAGTTGTAGACATGAAAAGGAGGGAGTTGTAGAACAATGACCCAAAACACACAGCCAAGACAACAAAGGAGTGACTCAAATACTTTTTTCCCTCACTGTATGTCTGTATGTTTGTCTGTATGAATGTATGTCTGTATGCAGGGCCGGCCTGTCAGTTGGCCCCAGTGGGGCAGTGGCTCAGCATTTTGCAACCCCTGTACCTTCAAGAAATCTGGAGCAGGGCTCGGGCTGCCTATTTGCACATATATATAGCAAGTATCGCTATATATATGTGGTGTTCCGGGCCCTGCTGGTGTGTATAGTGAAGAGGGAGCCCTGAGAGTAATCTTACAATCCCCAGCAGCAGCAGGTATTCTTCCCTCGCAAGCCAAGCTAGCGTTACCACGATTTGCCATGGCAAAGCTCCGGCATGCATTGCGTGACGTGTGGAGCGTTGCCATGGCAACTCTTGATAACGCTCTCGTGGCTCATGAGAGAAGAGTACTTGCTGCTGCTAGGGATGTTAGATCACTCTTAGGGTTCCCTCTTCACTGTCCTCCAGCTCCACTGGACCACCATGGTAAGAGGCAGGGAGAGGGGAATAAGTTAAAATACACACTGCATCCACTATACACACAAACACTGTGCATCCATTATACACACACATGCAATGCAATACACACACAGTACACACACTGCATCCACTACACACACTGCATAACGGATGTGAGCGTGTGGTGTGGTTTTGTTGGAGGGGGCAGCATTCCATGCTTGGACCCAGGCAGCACAATGCCTTGGGCCGGACCTGTCTGTATGCATGGATGTCTGTATGTGTCTGTATGTCCTTATGCATGTGTGTGTGTCTGTCTGTATGTATGTTAGTGTGTGTCTGTATGTGTCAGTATGTATGCCTATATGTGTTTATGTCTGTTAGTATGTACTTGTATGTATCTATGTCCTTTTGAATCAGTACGTGTGTTTGTGTGCGTATTCCTGTGGGCCCTGGGAGTAACACCTATTGTTGCAGTCACTCAGATGGCCTCTGGAGTGCATCCTTGGTCAGTGCTGCACAGTGCGCAGCACCTACGCTTTGCGAAGCGGCACTGAACGTTCCACCTAGAGATGTATTAATTCAATGCATCTCTATGAGGAGATTCTGATTGGCGTAGCATGGTGTTTTGCCACTTATGTGCAATAGTCTACAAATGCTTTCCTATGGGAAAGCATTGGATTGGCTGAGATCATCAATAATGAGTCATGGAGTCATGGCCAGCTGCAGTGAGACCAGCACAGCGTGGGGGAAATAGGTGATTAAAAATCCCTTTCCCATGTGATTGGAGGGGGAACGGTCACCTAAATACACACATTCACTGACAGACACACACGCACTCACTGACCGATACACACACACATGCATTCACTGACACTCACTGACAGACACACACAAGCACTGTCTGATAGACACATACACTCACTGATACACACTCAATGACAGACACACACACACACACTGATAGACAAACCCACATGCTGCCTTAATCCTCCAGCCTCCTGCCCATGCGCACCGCCACACTTTCCCTCAGGAGGCCGACAGCACGCCCATGCTCTTTCTGAGCTTGCCGGCTGATCACCCACATGCACACCCATGCTCTTTATGAGCCAGCTGACCACCTGCACGCACGCCCATGCTCTTTATGAGCTGACTGCCCGCCTCCACTCATAGGCAGCCAACCTCGGGGCTGAATGGGCCAGCTGTCACGGTTCTCACCTGATAGACAGACGGCAAGACGTGGTCGCTCTTGGAGTTCCCAACAGGGGACTTGAACCGGGGATCTTCTCAGTCCTGGTCCTGCTTTCTACCTCTGAGCCACAGCAGCTATTTACAGTGAAGACTGATTCCAGTCCTGTTCATCCTGACATGGCTACTACTCTGGGGGCTGCACCTTGACTTGGCTGTGTTTCACCTGACTCTGATCAGTCATCAGCAGGGTATTTAAACCCAGCCTCGCCCTGTGCTCAGTGTCAAGTCTTTGATCCTGTTTGTTCTAGTTTTCCTGTTTTATCGCTTCGCATTATTGACCCCGGCTTCCTGACTCGTTTATTCTGACTTCTGGCATCCCTTGACTTCGGCTACTCCTCGTTGTTCCTGTCCTCTGGCATCCTTTGACCTCGGCTATCCCTCGACCATCCTGCTGGTTCAGTCCTTGCCTGTCCTGCGTATTGGTACTGCATCCTGCACAGCCCCCGTGCACAGACCCACAGGCCAGGTGAATTCTTACCTGACCACCTCGGCCTGTGGCTATCTGCAAGGGTGAGCATCATATCTGCGCTACAGACTCCCAACTCAGGTAAGACCCTGACATAAGACTTGACCATTATGGAGTCCGCAGAGATGTGCTCACCCTCGACCCAGCGTGTGTCCAGCCTGGCCCAGACTGTTTCGGAGCTGCAGCAAGAAATTTTATTCCTTAAAGGCGCAGTACATCCAGCCCCGGAACCAGCTTTTCCTGAACCGTTTGTCATCATGCCCGACCGATTTGATGGTAGCCGCACATCCTTTCAGTCTTTCAAGATGGATTGTGAGGTGTTGTTTTCTTTAAAGCCTCGAACATATGCCACAGATTTTATCAAGGTCCGAGCGGCTATCAACCTGTTGTCTGGACGCATCAAAGTTTGGGCTCACCAAATGTTGCAGACGAAGAGTCCTGTCCTGGTCAGCTGGGAATCCTTTAGTACTGCTATGGACTCACAATGTAAGACCACTGTGGCCAAGTCAGCTCCACGTACTAAAAAATCTCAGATTCTTCCTAACCAAGTAACCGAGTACCACCACTACGCCCCAGAGATGCCTCCTTATGTTCCAGCTTCCAGGAAATCTCCAGAGGTATCCGGTGTTCCACTTGACCCTGTGGAACCTATGCAATTAGGACTCGTCCACTGCAAAGTGACACCTAAGGAAAGAGACCGAAGGAGAAGCTATGGCCTGTGTTACTACTGTGGAGAAAAAGGGCATTTCATCACGCTTTGTCCTGTTCGCCCTCCTAGACCTCCAGTTCTCCGACTTGGTACTAGTTTCCTTCGCCCTGTGTACACCGCATACCAGCCTAAAAAGCCAAATAGAAGCCGTTGTGCTTGCACATGCTTGGCCTCCGCGAGAAAACCTCCATCCCCTGCTCCAGAGCCTCCTGCATCTACTCCCGAAGTTGCTTCCTGTGATACCACCACTACTTCCTGCCCGCCCGAAGAGGTTTTACCTGTGGATTGTGCCGTTGCTTCTAATGGCACTATAGTCCGTAAAGAAAACCTTGAAATGTTCGAAAAAGCATTGTTAGCTGCGAACACTGCTCCTGCCAAAGTTTTGGAAGTGCTTGCCACCTGTACCCGGAACCTAAAAGACCTGGACAATTCTCCAGCCGTACCAGAAGCTGGTACTGCGGACTCCCAAGCTGTAAAGGGAATCCTTGCTGGTGAGTTTGACTATGGGGACTCACTGGATTCAGATAGTGACCCTGGAGAGGTGTACTATGCTGACAATGAACCCATTCACGCCCGGAGGTCGTTTTTAAAGGGGGGGGTACTGTCACGGTTCTCACCTGATAGACAGACGGCAAGACGTGGTCGCTCTTGGAGTTCCCAACAGGGGACTTGAACCGGGGATCTTCTCAGTCCTGGTCCTGCTTTCTACCTCTGAGCCACAGCAGCTATTTACAGTGAAGACTGATTCCAGTCCTGTTCATCCTGACATGGCTACTACTCTGGGGGCTGCACCTTGACTTGGCTGTGTTTCACCTGACTCTGATCAGTCATCAGCAGGGTATTTAAACCCAGCCTCGCCCTGTGCTCAGTGTCAAGTCTTTGATCCTGTTTGTTCTAGTGTTCCTGTTTCATCGCTTCGCATTATTGACCCCGGCTTCCTGACTCGTTTATTCTGACTTCTGGCATCCCTTGACTTCGGCTACTCCTCGTTGTTCCTGTCCTCTGGCATCCTTTGACCTCGGCTATCCCTCGACCATCCTGCTGGTTCAGTCCTTGCCTGTCCTGCGTATTGGTACTGCATCCTGCACAGCCCCCGTGCACAGACCCACAGGCCAGGTGAATTCTTACCTGACCACCTCGGCCTGTGGCTATCTGCAAGGGTGAGCATCATATCTGCGCTACAGACTCCCAACTCAGGTAAGACCCTGACACCAGCAAATCCCGGGCGCCAAGACAAAAATCCTAGTCGCCATGACGACCTGGCACCTGGGATTTGTCTAAGCACCATGACCTTTGATTTGTGGTCACGGTGCTTGTCTACATGTGCAGTGTTTCATAAAACTGTACATAAAGAGTTTAAGATCTCTGTTGATGGTGGTGTAATTCCACCTCTGACATGATCTTCGAGGTGTCATTAGCCCAGGGCTAAACAAATCCCAGGTCGCCAGAGGCGGCTCTCCGATTAGGCGGTTACCACCCCTCACACAGTGTCCACCCCACACACAGTATAACCCCCTCACACACACTGTCATGTCACCCACAACACTGTTGTGTCACCATACTCCCACACACTGTCAGCCTCCCCAGACACACTGTTAGCATCCCCACACATTGTCACCCCTCCCTACACTTTTGTCACCCCCCTCCCACACTGTCAGCCTCTTCGTGCATCCACACTCACATTATCCACTCCTAATCCTGTTAATCTCACCCCCTCCAAACTCGCCTGCTCTCACTCTTCAACACTCACCCTATTACATTAACCCTCCTTAATCCTGTCACAATCGTCCCTCCTACCATGCCACAGTTGCCCTGACACACTTACCTCTACTCGCCCTGTCACACTCCCTCATCAAACCATGTCATACTCCCTCTCCCTCATTCTCTCTCACAATCCCCCACCACACTGTCCCATTTACTTCCTTCGTCCTGTCACGCTCTCCCTGCCACTGGTACCCCTTTACTCTCTTTGTCACAGTCACCAGCTGAAGACATTCATCATACACACACAGTCAGGAAAGATAGCTTTGCCATAAACACAATGCACAAAGGCCACAGGCAGACCCCCATACACACAACACACTTCAAGCAGCTACCACATACACATACGGTCCCAGACAAAAAGGCAAACATGCTCACAGAGACATACATTCACACACACAAGGATACTCTCTGTCAGACACACACACTCAGGCACATACACAGGTAGACAGTGCATCAGTGTGTATATGTGTGCATGTATTGCAACTCTATTTTTTTCACTTTGGTGTTAGTGGGGCCTCATGTTTGAGTTTTGCCTAAGGCCTCATAAGGTCTAGAGCCGCCTCTGCAGGTCGCCATGGCGATTAGGAATTTTTTCCATGGGTGTTTGTCAGACTGTTCAGTGCCCAAGGTAGCTGGCTGAGGAAGAATGAAGATGAGTGGCTGACCAGAGGAGAGGAGAGTTGGGACGGGCGGTGAGGGAGTGCTGATTGTCTGTGCTCTTCCAGCACTACTCCCTCTCGCATCGGAATATGATGTAACTCCGGCATCACTAAACAGCATGTGAAGAAGCAGAGCAAGATGAACAGGAAGGAAACCGCAACACTACTGGACTGCCTGAAAAGGCAGCGTTTACATTGAAATGCCTGCAGTGACAGCCTATAGACACCAGAACCACTACATTAAGCTGTAGCGGTTCTGGTGACCATAGTGTCCATGAGTAAGTGTTAACAAGTCTATCTGTTTTTTTATAATCTGCTTCCTTAGATGTCTGATAGAGAAAGGAAAATGTTTTGTTTACTTTTTATAAAATGTGCTTAATTTGAATGGCTGGCATTATCCACTCTTTATATAATTTTTTCATTCTAGTATCTTTTGATATAATGGCATTCATGAATAGCTCAGACAGCGAGGAGGAAGAAGATTGCAATGAGAGGACATCATTAATAGCATCACATAGCCCCCCACTTCCATCTTACCAGGATGGAGTACTTTTACCTCCAGGAGCTCAGCCTACCGATTGCCAGGTAACTCATATCAGTTTCATTAATATAAGTTACTTAGATCTTGTCTAGCTCCTTCCCACAATAAGTTCAAGATTGGATTTTGTCCACAGATTCTCACTATAGATCTTAATGAATCTCCCTAGATAAAATGAGGATACTTTGAGGTTTAATGACCTATGTGTAATTAAGAAATATATTTAAGTTTTGAGAACAGCGATTCTGTCAAATATGGTCATTGTTATTTATTAAAGTGTTAGGCAGTCAAACTGAATTTAAAGTGAATTTTGAATCTAATTATAGAGATATAGAGAGGCTAGTTCTATATAACAGGAAACCAGCATTAAAGGAACACTATAGTCACTAGAACAACTACAGCTTAATGTAGTTGTTCTGGTAAGTATAGTCAGTCCCTGCAGGCCTCTTCATGGAGACACTGAACTTTCCTCATAGAAATGCACTTATTTATCTCTAGATGAATCAGAGATGCTGACTGGCCAAGGAGGCGTTTGGCTCCATCCCCCTCGGCCTGTCTCCTTAGTTCCGATCATCACTTCTGATGATGTCAGCCAAGGAGGCAGATCAGGGGCAGAGCCAGCACCAGCAGACTTGAATTAATGTAAGATTACTATATGTAGGGGGGGCTGAAATAATGTTTTTAACACTATAGTGTAAGGAATACATGTTTGTTCCTGACCCTATAGTGTTCCTTTAACAACTTTAGGAACTCTGGCTCTTTGTGATATTCAGGGGCCTTTCTATAGATATATACTTAAATCTTCAAGTTTGACTCCCAGGTGTCACACTTTCACGGTTACAGTGCCTCAGTGAGATCTAAGTCACCCTCTCCCTCTTTCCCAATGTTGTTTTTCTCCTTTTATGAGTTATCAGTCTGATTTAAAAATAATCGGAATATACATGGTTTCTATGAGTATCTAGACATATGGACCTTAAGTGTTATTAACAGACAGTACTGAGCTGCAAGCAAAGTGTATTCTGACAAGTGGGAGTCAAACAGAATTTGCACATTAATAATAATTTCAGCAAGCCTTCTAATGGTTCTGTAAGTCTAGGATCCAAGGTGACTATAATTGCCTTTATTTCTGTAAATAATCTGACAGCATCATTTAATAAAAACAACGGTTCTTGAAGAAAATATGCGGACAATCGCAGTTTCTCCAGTGGCAGATGACCACCATTAGGTCACATTTAAAGCCTATTTTATAGTATCATCATCATCATTATTAATTTAATTTTCTAACATTATTGTGACTAATTTGTATTTATAAAAGAGATATCCACATAATGGTATTACAGGCTAGCAAGACACAAAAAAATAATACAGATTTTCTGACAGATAAAATCACTAATTTGTGAATTGTTGGGTATTAAATATTTAAGGTTAAAAGAGCTGAAGTAAAAAACCTCCACCTTGTGTTTGTGACTTAGTGGCTACTAAAAAAGACTAAACATACCTCACTTTCAATACCTTGAGTTGTCTACTTTTTCAAATGGTATGCCATTATGAGGGTAATTCTCATTCCTGGGCTACCACACCGTCTCAACGGTAACATTACTAATCTGGCAAATTTCAATTTGAAAATGGAACGTTCTATATTTGACCCTGTAACTTTCCAAAACACCATAAAACATGTTAATGGGGGGTACTGTTGTACTCGTGAGTCATCACTTATTACAAATATGTGCAATTTTTTTGCAGTAAAACCTAACTGTTTTATGACATTCACAGCTAAAATGTCAGACGGAAATACAAATTTAAAAACAAAATCTTATTTTCTCACATTTTATTAAATTTTATTCATAATAAATTATGTTCCATATATGAATAGTTAATGATAAATTAAAGCCATGTTTCTCCTGAACAAAATGATATATGATAAGTGTGGGTGCACTTAATGTGACAGCGGTGAATTATGGTTGAACAGACATATAGCGCAAATTCCAGTTTGTGTTCACGTTCTAATCAAAACAAAACGTACACTATTGACTACATATTCTTTACACAAACAGCCTAACGATGCACAGGAGGCTAGCAGTATATCTAATGGAGAAACATCAGGTGCTGGAGCATCTGTCAGTGAAGCACCAATGGACGGGGAAGAAGAAGAGCTGACCCTAAAATATGGAGCCCGACACGTTATTATGCTGTTTGTTCCAGTCACACTCTGCATGGTTGTTGTTGTCGCAACAATAAAATCTGTCAGCTTCTACACTGAAAAAAATGGGCAGTTGTGAGTAACTTTTTAATTTAATGCTGTAAGATTCTTTAAGAAACATAATCAGAAAAGTCTGCATTTAAATGTTCATAATATTTAAAATTGTTGCCTAAGGATTGTTATTTATAAATAATCCCCAATATACTAACTAGAGTATGGATCTTTACGATTTCATCGGGGCATCCTGGATAGTTGCAGCTGAATAGAGTGAATTCAATTAATAATTTTTGTTGAATTGCAAATAAGTTTGCGAAATTTAGAAAAAAACATAGCAGAGTTGGAGAAATTGTCCTATTCAGCTTTTTTTTCCCCTTGACTATTTTACCCTAGTTTTTAATTTATTTATTTTTATTTTTTAAAATTAATAATTTTACAATTCACTATAAACCGTGAAAAGCGAGAAAGATATATTAACGCTTCTAAGAAGAAGAAAAAACACTGGAAGGTTTTTATTGATGTTATAAAATCTAGCTTCTTTTATTTAGTGCAAAATGCAATAGTTTTGGGTAATATGTTCACATTCGTGTCCAGTGAAGGATTTATTTGCCAAGTAAGACTAAAAGTAATGCCAAACTGTCAGCGTAAACATTGGGGATTATTATTTACCAGACAATGATTTCTAATACCAGCTGAATTAAATTGAAGGTTTAAGTTAAAAAACAAACAACTCTTCTAAAGATATTTACTGAAATACGAATTCAACGTGAATTTCAAATTTAAGGCTAGACTGGTGGAAATTAAAGTTTAGAGGACTTTTCCAGTTTTGACTGTAAATTTGAACTTCACTTTGATATGTCAACGCTCAATACTTTGAACCACGTCTGACGTAAACATTTAAGCCCAAAGCCTTGTAATCTGGTTGTCTGATCACTGCGTTTTATAGTTATCCTAAATTGCTCTCAGAGCAAACGGGATCAATCAATCTTCTTGAGTTCAGTAATTTGTTTATGCTGAGATACTGATTCCAGCTTTGCAGGAAGCTGGTAGTGCCAGCCAAGCTCCACTGAAAACCTACCCCCTCTAGTTTATTAGGAATGCAGTTTAGCAAGAATAGGGACTTTGCTGATTTAATACAGGTTTATAATCTAATTATTTCCCTTGTAGATTCTATATATTTATTTCTTGATCACTAGCTAAAAAGTTGGAGAGGATTACATTTACACCAAATGTGCATAAAGTTTGCGGATCTGTATGCTTAAATCTTGTTTTCATTTTTATAATAATGGGAGCTAAAACTTTTGTGGTTTATCTCTATTTAATTTGTACTTATAGAGGTAAATGTCTTTAATTTGTGCCATGTCAATAAATACCCCATCTCTATAATTTTATCAGATGGTTCTAGAACTAAACAATTTTGTAAGTAGAGCTTTAATGTTAAACCTCACTGCATGGTAATCCAGTTTCTATCTATTTCTAATTATTACACCAAAAATTATGACACTGTCACTTTCCAATGTGTTTGAATATCAGACTTGTCCCACTCCACAAATGAAATGCCAGGCAAGTCTGTTGATCATATTCCTTATGAGTGACACCTCTAGGCACAGTGTGCAACGAGTCTGGATTGACCTTTGGCTTAGTGAGATTTTAAAAATAGTCAAATAATTAATGTAAGAAACAAACTTTGAATGGACAAAATCTATTTAGAGTGTCATTCAGGTTTAGAACCAATCACTTTTGCCATTATAGTACAAATCTATACCTTCTGCAGCTTCACCGAAATGGCAAACAGGCCCTTTCTGTATGAAGCTGCAACAACAGACCTTGTATTTGTGCTTATATGTCTGGTTCTGTTGCAAAGGATCCATGTTAAGATTGCCTTGCATATTTTAATCTTATGTTCGTGAATTTTAGGATCTACACACCTTTTTCTGAAGATACCACATCAGTTGGCCAACGACTTCTCAACTCTGTATTAAATACAATTATCATGATCAGTGTCATACTTGTGATGACAATATTCCTTGTTTTGTTATACAAGTACCGATGCTACAAGGTAAGATGGCAGAGGACATTAGAGAATTATCCACCTAAATATGAAGAACAAAAAAGATTTGATATAATGTTTTTTAATTGATTGCATTTTGTTCTGAAGATTTGTAGCATGCTTATATAAATTTACATAAAGCAGAAATCAAACTGTAATATTTTGTGAAGGATAATGTTTCACTTACATTGTTACAAAGGTGGACTTGGTATAACTTTTTTTACTGCATTTCCTGGATCTTTCTGGATCTGGATGTATGGACCAAGACATATGAGCTGCGCATCAGTCAAGTGCAATTTTCCCTTATATAATTATAAAATCTACCTTTAGAAGTGCATGCAGCATGTACAAGGCAGGCATGGTCATTTTGGTGAGCTAGTAAAATACCTAAGGAACATGTGGCAGGAAGTGCTGTCAACTCTAGCAAAATCTTTTTTTTTTAATCTTTTTTTTTGTTTTGTTATCTGGCTTGTGACAGTGAGCTGCGTGTTCCATCTTCCTCTCCCTACTCCAGCTCCATCTTCCAGCTCCCTCTCTCCATCTTCCTCCCTCTCTACTAACCAGCTCCATTTTCTTCTCATCTCTTCAGCTCCATCTCTCTCTTGCTCTCTCTCTCTACACAGCTCCATCTTCTTCCCTATTTCCCCACCAGCTCCATCTTTATCCCTCTCTCCCCACCAGGCCAACCTTCCTCCTTCTCTCCCCTCCAGTTCATAGTTACATAGCTGAAAAGAGACATGCGTCCATCAAGTTCAGCCTTTCTGAAGTTCCATCTTCCTCTGCTCCTCCAGCTCCCTCTCCAACTCCTTCCCCCTCTCTCTCTTCATCTCCTTCACTTTCTACCCACCAACTTCATCTTTCTCTCCCCCCTTGACCTCCATCTTCCTCTTTACCTTCAGCACTATCTCCCCCTCTGTCCTTACTACTAGTATTACTGATTTTAATGACCATTTTGTTATTACATTATGCTTTTAATTTTAAAATGTGTTTTTGTTCTTTTCAGTTTATTCATGGATGGTTGATTCTGTCATCGTTAATGCTGCTTTTCATGTTCACATATATATATCTTGGGTAAGTGTATTTCAACTATATTTGTTATTGCTAACCCCTTCCCCTGCTAATTTTAATGCCTCTCTGTTACTTTAGAGAGTGTTTGCACATAAAGCAAGTGCTATAACATGCTGCAGAACCATATGCACACATCATAACCAAACGAAACTGAAATAATTTTTTAATCCTAGATACAACCGCTCTAAAACTTATGAGAATATAATGTTAAAATACTAACCCTTACCTATAAAGCTCTAAACAACTCTAGCCCCTGTTATATTTCTTCACTGATTTGTAGGTACACCCCTTCTCGGTTTGTCCGCTATACAGGTGGTCCTCACTTTACAACCTACCTGTTTTACGATGGCTTACACTTACAACCAGCTCTCTAGTGTGGGGATTAGTGATGTCCCGAACGGTTCGCCGAACTGTTCGCCACGAATGGTTCGCCACGGACTCATCATTGAGTAAACTTTGACCCTGTACCTCACAGTCAGCAGACACATTCCAGCCAATCAGAAGCAGACCCTCCCTCCCAGACCCTCCCACCTCCTGGACAGCTCACTAAGAATGCAGCTTCAAAATGGATGCTGTCCAGGAGGTGGGATGGGAGGGAGGGTCTGCTGCTGATTGGCTGGAATGTGTCTGCTGACTGTGAGGTACAGGGTCAAAGTTTACTCAATGATGAGTCCGCGGCGAACCGTTCGGGACATCACTAGTGGGGATTCAAGGGATACCCCACTTTAGAGAGCTGGTCTATGTTCGGGGAATTTTCTCCGAACATTGAAGGATTTTCTGCTCTGGTGCGTATGTCTATGTTTGAGGAAATTTCCTTGATCATAGAAAAACACACCAGAGCAGGGAATCCATCTAATATATATTCGGGAAACGTTCCCTGAACATAGATTTAAGGGATTCCCTGCTCTGCTGCGCTTGTCTATGTTTAAGGAAATTTCCCCGAACATAGACCTGCACTGGTGCGCATGCTCTCTAGGGCATCCTCACTTACAACCAATTAATTTTACAACCGAGTCGTAAGAAAGGAACCCGGTCGGTAAGTGAGGAGTGTCTACTGGTGACATTCTCCTGTCTGCTACTTACACCCTTATTGCTAATTCGCGCTTGCAGGACTTCTCACAGACGGCTCCCTTCCTTTCGAACAGCCTGCCTACCTCCATCAGACTCTTCCCTTGTCTTCAATCATTTAAGAAGTCCCTCAAAACCCATCTGTTCAGAAATACTTATGGCCTCGCAGAGTAACTTATATTTTAAAAACCTGTCTCTTGTTCTCTTCTAAAGGGCTACACTACACTCGTATCTCCAGTTCTGTTACTTCCCACCTTGAAATGCCCTATTGTGTTTTTATACCCGTCTCCTCTAGACTCTAAGCACATTTGAGTAGAGTCCTCATCAACCTATTGTTCCTGTAACATTTTATAAGTCTCTCATTTATTCTTAATCTCCCCCTTTTTATAATATTGTAAAGAGCTGTGGAATAAGTTGGCACTATATAAATACCAATGATATTAAGAAAAATAATGATTATATATATATAGAATAATAATGTGTGTGTGTGTATATGTATGTATGAATGTAAACAAAAGCACTTTTGTTTTTGCCCCATTTTTCTTGAGCTGAACTCAAAGATCTAAGATGTTTTCTATGTACACAATAGGCCTATTTCTCACAAATATTGTTCACAAATCTGTCTAAATCTGTGTTACTGAGTACTTCTCCTTTGCCAAGACACCTCACAGGTGTGGCATATCAATATGCTGCTTAGACAGCATGATTATTGCACAGGTGTGCCTTAGGCTGGCCACAATAAAAGGCCACTCTAAAATGTGCAGTTTTATCACAAGTGTTGCGTTTATCATTTTCTTCAGTGTATGTATATAAATTATAAAAGTGTGTGTGTATGTATATGTATACATATATAGAGAGAGAGAGAGAGAGAAAAAGAAAGAAAAGCACTGTAGCGTCATCATGTCTTTAAAGTGCTTGTACTGCCTGGAATATCAAACCGTGTTTAACGTTGACTGAGAATCCCTGTTTTAGACTGAAATTAAACTCTGCCTTAGCCATACCAATTCATACAAGTAAATGGTAAATTTATTGTAACCTGTGGGAACACAGCTGATGCTCACAGCCAATCATCACTTCTTAGGCTAATGTGAAATAATTAGTCTAATCATCAAAGAAGGAAAAAACGGTTTTAACATTAAACCCTGAAATGGTACCAGAGAACTTTACACACTATAACCATGTCAATGAGAAAAGTGTTTATAGTGCCCCTGTAATAGGGTCATAACCAGTTAAATAGCATTATGGATTTACAATAGTTTTGCCATGGACTGCATGGATTAGAAACAATCTGTTGAAATAACTATGTATCCAAACCCATGCTTTGATACAAAAGCTGTGTATAAAGATGGAGAGTGTTGTGTACTGCAGAAATATGAACTAATCTTATTCAAAGTTACACACACTGTCTATTGTATTTCCTATGTGAATGCTGCATAGCATTCTGAGTGTATGGGGAAACATATTCTCTACATTGTGCTACTAGTTTATATATATATATGTGTCTGCCTTTAATCTTATTCTCTTGATTTCATTTTTTTTTCATGACAGTGAAGTTTTCAAGACATACAATGTAGCAATGGATTATCCAACTCTAATCATGGTAATATGGAATTTTGGGGCAGTTGGAATGATCTGCATTCATTGGAAAGGTCCCCTCCAGCTCCAGCAAGCATATCTTATAATGATTAGTGCACTTATGGCTCTCGTCTTCATCAAGTATCTTCCAGAATGGTCAGCGTGGGTAATACTTGGAGCCATCTCCATCTATGGTATTTACATACTTACATCCATAGCCTTTCGTTCCGATATACAGTGGAACCTCGGAACTCAAACTTAATCCGTTCAAAAGGCTGTTTGAAAACCGAATCAAAATTTTCCATAAGAATTAATGTAAATTAGATTAATCTGTTCCAGACCCCCAAAATTGCAGCTTTTAACACAAATTGTACAGTTTAATAATACCTTACATGCATCAAATCATACAGAAACACAATAAACACATTGTAAATGAAATGAAAATGTAACTTCACTTTACCTGTTATCTCTGTTTGCTGACAGAATTGAGCTGTTTGCTGACAGAATGGAGCTCTGTTCCGCTTTGTCTAGTGCCAGAAGGCCGATGCATCATACCAAAGCGGTACCAACGAGGTTAACAAGTGTGATTTTGTTCGGGTACATTTTTTTTTTTCTTTCAAATTTTATGTGTGAATACCGAATTGTTCGAGTATGGGAGCGTTCCAGTTCCAAGGTTCCACTGTAGTTTGTCTAGCCTTATAAATTACAGGCAAATTACATAATACAACAAAAAGTAAAGAAATATGCAAAAAATGCAAAGGTCAATCATGTTTAAATATCTGCTTTGTGAAAGATAAATGTTATTTGAAGCAATTAAATAATTCAGTTATAGTTCCAGTATTTTTGTAATTTATTTTCAACTTTTACTTTAAAAATGTCCTTACCTGAATTATATTCAGTGCCTAACTTGCTAGAGGCTCGGTGGGCAATCTTGGAATTCTGGAATTCTCTAACTTAAAGGTACATTATAGTCACTAGAACAACTACAGCTTAAAGGGACACAATAGTCACCCAGACCACTTCAGCTCAGTGAAGTGGTATGGGTGCCAGGTCCCTCAGGTTTTAACCCTTCACATGTAAACATAACAGTTTCAGAGAAACTGCTATGTTTACATTTGGGATTAATCCAGCCACTAGTGGCTGTCTTCCGTACACTTTGAATGCGCGCGCGGCACTTGCTCTAGTGACGTTGGACGAGGGAGCTGACGTCGGACGGGGAGGATACCATCTCTGGCCACTTCTCACATGGCTACTAGAGGTGCTTCCTGCGGCAGTGCTGGACAGTGTGCAGCACTGCCATTCGGCGTCTTCACCCTCTGCATGGAGACACTGAACTTTCCTCATAGAGATTCATTAATTCAATACATCTCTCTGAGGAGATGCTGATTGACCAGGGCTGTGTTTGGCTTGTTCTGGCTCTGTCCCTGATCTGCCTCCTTGACAGTCTCAGTAAATCCAATGCTTTCCTATGTTACAGGATTGTGATAGGCTTTGATCAACACTTCTGATGATGTCAGCCAAGTAGGAAAATCAGGGGCAGAGCCAGCAGCAGCAAACTGGAATAAAAGTAAATTTTTTTTACTATATTTAGGGGAGGGCAGGGGGCTATATGGTGTTGTTATAACTATAGGGTCAGGAATATATGTTTGTGTTTCTGAGCCTATAGTGTTCTTTTAATGGAATCTGGAGCTTCTGTCAGTCTTACAAGATGGAGAGAAGTAGATATTATGTATGGTATGCTTAATGTTGCTGATCTTTAATCTAATGAAGGAGGTATTTCACATTATTCATGTTATATGTTCTGGACACATCAAAATATTACATTAAATAGGGTTTTGTGAGGTTATTTATTTTTACTTTGCCTTGTATCATATAGTTAAAGGGACACTCCAGGCACCCAGACCATTTCTGCCCATTGGAGTGGTCTGGGTGCCAACTCCCACTACTTTTTTTATAAACTGCAATAATTACCTTGCAGGGTTAACTCCACCTCTAGTGGCTGTCTAGTAGACAGCCACTAGAGGGCACTTCCTGCATCTTAGCACAGGAAACCTGTGCTAGAGCGTCGCTGGACCTCCAGCGTCGCTCAATAGCCCACAGGAAAGCATTGAAAAGCATTTTCAATGCTTTCCTATGGGGAGCTCTAATGCAATGCCGCGCATGCGCGTTAGGTCTCTCCGGCCGGTGGGCGGGATCAATCTCGCCCACCGGCCGACGTAATACAGAGGAGGAGCGGCGGCGGAGGAAGAAGCAGCGACATGGGACATGTCGCTGCCTCTGGTAAGTTACTGAAGGTGTTTTCACCCCTTCAGCAACCGGGTATTGGGGGGTGGGAGGGAGAGGGGACCTGCAGTGCCGTGAAAACGGATTGTTTTCCTGGCACTGGAGTTTCCCTTTAACAATTTCTGTACATAAAAAATATGAATATATGCAGGATAAAAAAATGTTAACAGGCATTATGTAATTATGTCATAAAATATGTGAATACTGAGAAAATGCTTAGTAGCCTTACAGAGCTTAGTGTCCATCATATACATTATATTGTAAATTTGTTTATTTGCAATTGTTTATTATGACCATCTATCTTAGCTAGCAGGCATAAGCCTTCCACATTTGGTATCATAATGACATTCTTGTTACCGTTGTATTACTGTTCAGATTTTAAAAATATTATTTTTTTTTTTTTAAAAACACCTCTCCGCAAAAAATTAGACAGGAGCCATTTCAGAATGGCAGCTTGTTCTAACTAATTGCTGCACATGTCATCATTCCTTAAGGATTTGAATGAAAATGGAACCAGGCAAGTTAAAGTTACGTGATCATTATATCTCTTAGATCTCTTAGCTGTATTGTGTCCAAAGGGACCTTTGAGAATGCTGGTGGAAACTGCACAGGAAAGAAACGAGCCCATCTTCCCTGCACTTATTTATTCTTGTAAGTATTGTTTTCCTTTCATAATCACTGAAATATTTCTGTTTTTTTTTGTGTTGTGTTTTGCTACCACTGATAATTGAGTTGTCAACTCTAATTATGTTATCTGTCTAGCATAGTATTAGTATTCTTTATATAGCACCAACATATTCCACAGCAGTTTATAATTAGACATCTAATAGCAAAGTGTTTCATATGAAAGACTTTCAACTCCCATTTGGGGAATGGGGGCGTTCATTAAATGCTGACTCTGCTTGAGCAACCTCCGCTACTTTCTTTTGCCTTAATTCTCTTAAATTAAGCTGATCAAATTTACTTTATTCACTGCTAACAAAAACTATGTTGGGCTGAATCGATCCCTTCTATTTTCAAATGGAACCCATGGCAGGGGTGGGATTAATCTGAAAAACCCCAGCTGAACACTTAACAAACACAAACTGAATGTCCCTGCTTTAAAGGACCACTATAGTGCCAGGAAAACAAACTCGTTTTCGTGGCACTGTGTAGTCCTTAGGTCCCCCCCACCCTCATTGCCTCCCTCCCACTGGGCTTAAGGGGTTAAAACCTCTTCAGCCACTTACCTTTATCCAGTGCCAGGCTCCCTCTGCGCTGGGGACCTCTCCTCCCCCTCATGTTCAGCCTTCCTCACATATGTTTTTGCTGTTGATCCAAAAGAAGGCAAAAAACCCAGTCTGAAGCGCTTCCAATTTTGCAACAAACTAGTAAAAAAATTCCTTTTTGACCCCAAAATAGCAGTCAGATGTCTCATTGGATCAAGCAGCTATTACCCCACTAATTAGAAATTATATCCCTGTATGTTATGTTTTTGCAAGTATTTATCCAATTGCAATTTAAACATATGTATTATGTATGGACTCTGATAAAACCACCTCTTCAGGCGAAGAATTCCAAATCCTTATTGCTCTTACTGTAAAAAAAAACCCTTTTCTTTGCCTTAGATTAAATCTCTTTTCTTCCAGCCTAAATGTGTGACCTTGTGTTCCATGTATAGCCCTGGTTATGAATAGGTTTCCAGATAATGGTTTGTACTGGCCCCGAATATATTTGTATAATGTTATATCCCCTCTCAGGCACCGTTTTTCCAAACTAAAGAGATTAAAATTTTTTAACCTTTCTTCGTAACTAAAATGCTCCATTCCTTTTATCAATTTTGTAGACCGTCTTTGCACTTTTTCTAGAGCCATGACATCCTTCTTTAGAACAGGTGCACAAAATGGCACAGCATATTCAAGGTGTGGTCTTACCAGCGATTTATAAAGAGGCAAAATTATATTTTCATGCCAAGAATTTATGCCCCTATTTATACATGACAAAACCTTACTGGCCTTAGCAACTGCAGATTGACATTGCATATTGCTGCCTAATTTGTTGTCTACAACAATTCCCAAATCCTTCTGGTGTGTGGTTATCCCTAATTCACTACCATTTAGGGTGTAAGTTGCTTGTGCATTCTTGACCCCCGAAGTGCATAACTTTGCATTTCTCTACAATAAATTTAATCTGCCATTTTAGTGCCCAGTCCCCCGATCTATCCAAATCCCTCTGCAGCAAAGCAATATCCTGCTCACATTTTATTACTTTAGAAAGTTTCATCTGCAAACACTGACACATGACTTTCAATGCCTATTTCAAAATCATTTATAAATATGTTAAATAGAAGCGGACCCAAAACAGAACCTTGAGGGACACCACTTACCACTTTTGTCCACCATGAAAATTTACCATTAATGACAACTTGTTATACTCTATCCTTAAGCCAATGTTCTACCCAAGAACAAGAATATTCATCTAGACCAATTTATTTTTGTTTGAAGACTAACCTGTTGTGTCTTAAAGTAATAATTAGAAACGTGTCTGCAAATATGGGTATAAATGATTTTATTATGTTATTTTAATTTAAAGCTGCTATGGTGTGGACAGTGGGAATGGCTGACTCTGGTAATGCAGATGGAAGGAGAGCTCCACAAACACAAAGTACAGGTACATTTTGGAAAAATTATTTTACACATAAGGATATAATAAACAAATCTCAGGCAGTTTACCATGGTCCTTCAAAATAACCATTTTAAATTTTGCTGGCACTTCCCCACTGGATTTATGGTGCAGACACCTAATGTAGTTGAGAGAGCAGGAGGACTTGGACACTCTATCTTATGAGCTCCAGATACCACTGGTGGTGGGCCAACCTGGTACCATTTATTCAGCAGGACTGCGTCTACTGCCATCTGTCTCTTTACCATGGAAGACCTCACCAGCAGGCTGGCTGAAATGCCAGAGCAGTGGCATAACCCAGAAAAATTCATGTTCATCCTCCATCCGTTCTCGCATTCTGTTGTGTAAGCATATTGAATATTAATTCCTGATTGCACATATGTATATATTGAATTGAATCTACTCTAGAGGTGGAGGGTGGGTGCTTCAGGGGAAATCTCTCTCACTCTAAAATGTTATTTATAAAGTTAAACTGCAAGGATTCATTCCAATGGCTTCATATAAGCTGTGGGATATTTGTATCCAGGAAAATAAGAATTGTGTTAACCCACTCAAGCCCACATACATACTGAGCCATTTTTTTTCTCATTACGTATATGGTGGCACCTACTAGGGCAGGGATAGGCAACCTTTGGTACTCCAGATGTTGTGGACTACATACCCCATAATGCTCTTACACCCATAATGCTGGCAAAGCATCATGGGAGGTGTAGTCCAAAACATCTGGAGTGCCGAAGGTTGCCAATGCCTGTACTAGGGGATATTCAGTAGTGGCTCTCAAGGGATGCCCGACAATACGTTTATAATGGGCTTACCGTAATGGTGACTCCCACATATGGATAATCATCTGGCCACATAGAACAGTCACAATGGCTGGGAGAATGCACACTCAGGTGACAAGTATGTCTCAGGTTTCCTACTCTAGTGGGCTCTCATCCTACCAGAAAGACAGATACGCGGCACATTACCCAGCCCCCCTCCCTCCCTTTGTTCCAGTTCGGATTGACAATAAATGGACATCCATCCTCTTGCATGATAATAACCATACGTGCAACAGGGAGTTAGCAAAGAAAAAAAGTCTATAGAAGACCTATGGTATACTTCATAGAATTTATTGTGGAAACACAATCCAATGCCATAGGCATCTCCTATGTATTATGCAAGAAGATTACTGTAACCAGCAGTTGTTGCGAGCGAAAGCGGAACACAAAATACAAAACATATGTTGGTTGGAAGCTGTTTGCACATAAGACAAAGTAGTCTGTGCTTTTTCCCATCTTATGTATTGCTCTGTAATTTAAGTCACATTCCAAAACAGACTAAATTATTTTAATTCCTTTGAAAAACTCAAAAGTGATTGTGTTTTTTTGTTGTTGTTATTTATGTAAATGAACAAAAACACTTAACAGATTTATTTTTTTCTCTTTTTGTTTTATCAGAAGAAAATTCGTCAAACAATATAACTAATCCATCTCAAGTGAATAGGGAGGCTCTCGAAACCAGGATTCAAACTCAAAGCATTCCAGCTCCTTCTATAGATGACGCAGAAGAAGAACGTAAGTATATGATCTTTTACAATAGGCACACATAGTTATCTTAACTAATAATAATACGTACTTTACATTTGATGAATGACAAGAACTTAAATCACCATTTAGCAAGTTGCACAAAAGTCTGTTTTGTCTCCATCTGGAAGATACGAGCCTGATATATTGGTTTTTATTGTCTTTTGTTATCTACCTTGATGTCAGCATTTTAATGATGGGTGGGCTTGGCAAAGTAGCCCATTGCAAACAGATGTGGGAATTATTTGTCATAAATAGAATAATTTACCATTTTATATTTTCCACATTATATCATTATTCTATGCAAAATGCTCTTTAAAGGACCACTTCACACCCATAAAGTATTTCAGCTTGCTTAAAGGGATCCTATAGTGCCAGGAAAACAAATCCTTTTTCCTGGAGCTATAGGCTCTTGGAGTGCCCCCCTCCCTCTGCGCTGAAGGGGTTAAAACTCCTCGGCACTAGTGACTTTTCCTCCCCTGCCAATGTCAGCTCCGGAGTGGAACCTTAATGCGCATGCGCAGCCAGAGGCTCGCGCGCATTCAAACTCGCCCATAGGAAAGCATTACTCAACGCTTTCCTATGGGGATCTTATTTGACGCTGGACTCCGTGAGGGTGTCCAGCGTCAAATAAATGCGGTTTACTCAGTGTAAATTGCGGAAGCGGCCTCTAGTGGCTGTCAGAGAGACAGCCACTATAAGCTGGATTAACCCTGCAGTGTAAACATAGCAGTTTCTCTGAAACTGCTATGTTTTCAGCTGCAGGGTTAAAACTAGGGGGACCTGAGCTGAACTGGTCCGGGTGCCTATAGTGGTCCTTTAAGGGCTTTATGGGTGTGGAGTATTCCTTTTCAAAGGCACTTTATAAAAATGCAGCTTTCTATGACAAATCGGCACTTTTATAATTAATAAAACACCCTCTTGGCTGTCAATCAAACAGCCTGGAAGGTTTGCATCCTGCTTCTGTTAGCTTTCCTGAGCTAACGGAAGTGGCAGTTATACATGTATTCACTGGGGGTATGTCTCCACAGTAATATGTACTTTTTTGCCCATTTGAGCAGTGGAGTGTCCCTTTAAAGCTCAATCTAGTAAAATACTTTTAAAACATTACCTTTTTCATTATTTGAATATTTAAGTAATGCCGTAATGCATTTTTTTTTTGTATGTTTTTTATTACACAAGTTAAGATGTGTATGAAATGGATTGCCCTTTACAGATGTTCTACGTTATAGACAAAGTATGTAGTGAGCGTTAAAAAGATAAACTGGCAAGAAACCTGACCTATCTATATCCAATAGATTCCTCTTTGTTCTGAACAAGACTAGAGATAAAATGTGAATTAAGATTGACCACCGAAAGAGTGTCCAGTCTCCATTTTCATCTCCACCCCACACCATACCATTTAAACAGATCCTCTTTGGAATAAATCAAAATATGTTCATTCAGTAATAAATCAGTATCTGATCATTGTGGGAAAAGAGAAAACAGATGTAGAGGGGACAGTATTGCATTTCATTAATAATATTAGAGTTGGAAAAGAGGTATAAGTCAAGTGCTGTTATGTTTTCATATGTTTAAGTGTTTTTCCATTTTTGCAGAAATGTAAAAATCTATTTTTAATGTTAGATGTGTTCCTAGCTATTTAGATATATGGTCCCACTGTATTAGTAAAATAAAGCATACACATCGATCAGTATCATGTCAGAGATGCATTATCCCAGTGCATCCCTAGTGGGAAAACACCAATCATCAGTCCTGTAAAGATTGCAAAGCTGTAATAAGAACTGACAGCCACTAGTGGTATCCTTTATGTAAACACAGAAAAGTCAGGGTTTACAGTGCTGAGACTGCAGGAGTAGTCTCTTTGCACCTAAACTCCAACAGTGGTTCTGGTGCTAAAAGTGTCATTTAAGATTATAATTGTCCCCTTTATTATCACCTGTTAGATATAAACAGGTCATTTTTTTTCCCTGTCTTACTGAAAAATCTTTTTGGTGTGCCCCCTCTCTGCTCTATCTGCCTTGCTGTCTCAAGACACAAACACAGTCTTTAATCTTGACTGTTTGTAATGATCCCCAGCTGAATTATCATGCTTCATTCTATAACCTATTTTTCACATTGCAATGTAAAAAGTGTATGTGAGTTGTGAAAACCGTGTTTGACATCTATGGTGACTTTATTTCCTAAAGGGGGTGTGAAGCTTGGTCTTGGAGATTTCATTTTCTACAGCGTACTTGTGGGAAAGGCAGCAGCAACTGCAAGTGGAGACTGGAACACTACCTTGGCTTGTTTTGTGGCCATATTAATAGTAAGTAAAATGTGCCTTACAAACCAAATATCAAATGGGAGGTAGCTTAAACATTGATAATTTTTAGTTTGCCTAATTACCCCTGATACATCTTTATACAAGAAGTTTATAAGTAGGCTCTGTAACGGCTGAGTACCTCCGTTACTTCTTGGGTTCATAGGCTATTTTAAGACCATCCGATATCGTCTTGCTGAGTCTAAGTATTCTTTGCCATTAGAAGCGCTCAGATATTCATCGCAAAGTAATCTGAGCAGCATTCGGAAGTGAAATGTAGCAAGTGATTATAGCCTTTACTACACACCATGAGTCGAGACTACATGTAGGGGTAAACAGAACTGACTTTATTGCAGCTGTGTAGAGATATTTATACCCACACAGGGTCATTTGCATACAATAGGGTAATTAACAGTACATATAGTTTCCCATCAAGTCTTCTTCCCATAATTCCTTATTTGTCTTGCTGAAGGCAACTCTCAGCCTCACCAAAACAAACATATGTTCAGCTTCATTTTGTCCTTATAATTCAAACAACCTGAAACAACGAAAGCCTCTGTTAAAATTCTACCTTGCAACCTTAGGTCCATTACAGGCCCTAACAAATAACACATGCTATAAATTTAATTGGTTTATCCACAAGTTGGTTAATAGAATATGAATTTTACGTTCATCAGTCAACACCAAATGTGTGAATGTTATGCTTCAGGTTGTTAGTTGAAATCAAATTGAAGAACTCCTGCAATGCTGAGCATGGTATATCTCAGTGCTCTGAGCATATTTTTTTGCTAGGAATTGTGGGATAATGTAGTCAACATTGTGCTAGCCTATTGCACAGATGCATTTGCAGTCCACATACATATAACTTGTCCCTGTCTAAACCATAGAGGTGTGAACTAAAGTATTGAAGTAGAAATAAAATGTGCACGAAATGTTTAATATAAAGCAGCAAGTCATTGTCTTATGAATCCATCCACAATATGTCCAAAAAGCTATATTCGTGACAAAGGGTCTGTTTCTATGCTTGTCGCAATCATTTACCGACAAGTCAGTACTCGCTAAATTGGCTGTCACATTATTACAGGGCAGTGGATGTTTTTTTTTTTTTTTAAATGTACTCCTCCAAAGTGGTTGCAAAAGCTTCTTGTCTGTCTTGACAATTTAAATGTAACAGAAAAAAAAGAGAAATTGGAAGCACACATGAAAACATGCATTTCTAAGGAGTGGTGCTGCCATAAAGACAAAAATATATACAAAGTGCAGATTAAAGGGACACTCCAGGCACCCAGACCACTTCTGCCCATTGGGGTGGTCTGGGTGCCAACTCCCACCACCCTTAACCCTGCAAGTGTAATTATTGCAGTGTTCATAAACTGCGATATTTACTTTGCAGGGTTAAGTCCTCCTCTAGTGGCTGTCTATCAGACAGCCACTAGAGGGCACTTCCTGCTCTATAGCACAGAAAACCTGTGCTAGAGCGTCGCTGGACGTCCTCACGCTGTGTGAGGACCTCCATTGTCGCTCAATTCCCTATAGGAAAGCATTCAAAAGCACCACAGCCACTAGAGGGACTTCCGCGTGCGCGGCATTAGGTCTCCCCTCCTTCTGATGGCGTGGTAGGAGAGTAGACGGAGCCTGACCCAGCGCTGGACTCCGGTAAGTCACTGAAGGGGTGTTAACCCCTTCAGCAACTTGGGATGGGGGGTGGGAGGGAGAGGGCACTGTAGGGTCCTGCAGTGCCAGGAAAAGGAATATGTTTTCCTGGCACTGGAGAATCCCTTTAAGGAACATTGCATACACAAAAAAATATACAGTTTTACATTTTACAAGGCTACTTAAAGGCACCTATTCACCTATCTTAGCAAACAAATATGGGAATTCAGTTACACCATATGGCCATATTGTGTTAAGCCCACCAATATGACCCTGTTCGTCTAGACACTAAAATTTCAAACTTCAAAGTCAGACCTGGACACTGTGAGGATTATTCACTTAACTGTGAATTTTCCCAAATTAAATCTAAACGGAGAAACTGAGGCCAGAATTGCTGATCTGGAAAATACTCCAACTCAAAACTGGCTATTATTGCCTCAGTTTTGCCATTCAGATTTAAAGGGAGATTTTAGGCACCCAAACCACTTTATCTCATTTAAGTGGTCTAGGTGCAGTAACCAGGTCCCACTTAGTTCTGCAATGTAAATCATTGCAATTTTCAAGAAACTGCAATAATTATCTTGCAACCACTCTCTGGATTCCAAAGAATTCTGAATCCTTTAAACAATACTGATGTCCTCGGATGCAATCAGCATCAGTGAAATGCTCATAGGAAAGTTTTGAAGCAATGCTTTCCTATAGGGAGGGCCTAGTCTGCTCACTGCTCATGCGCATTAGGCCCTTCCAGTCTGTGGAGGTGGAGCACCGACCCAGTGCCTAAGGATATTGGCGCTGGAATTAAGTGACTGACTTAAGGTTTTCTTTTTTAAATCTTTATCTGCTGGGGGGGACAGAGGGGGGACTCTATCATCTTAGTAATACAGATTTGTATTTCTAATACTATAGAATACCTTTAATGTTGCAAAAATTAGACTTTAGTTTCTCTTCCTCTGTCCTCCCCATAGTGTGTATGTTGGATGTATGTAATGTCTGTTGTGTGCTATCTGTATGTGATCTATGTGTGCTGGCTGCATGTAGTGTGTGTCTGTGGTGTGGTGTGTGTGCCTATGTGTAATGCTCTGTTTAATGTTCTTTGTGCATTTTCCTGGATCCATGGTGGTCTAGTGGGGGTTTGTACATTCATCACCATTCTGTGGTGATGACATCAATCAACAACCTAAAGATAGCAAAGGTTCAGAGGTGAAAGTGACCCTCATCTAGATTTTACTTTCACCAATACATCGAGCACAAACTTCCTTCCTGGCACCCAGAACTTTATGTCCTGGGACTTCCAGCGATAACAAATTCCACAAAATTTGACATTTAACACCTCTAGAGATTAACCCCTTAAGGGCAGGAGCAATTATCCAAGTTCTGAACCAAAACATAATTTTCTTCCACCGTATTTAAGGGTTTCTCTTTAAAAGGACACTATAGTCACTTGCTCTACTCAACCACAGTTATATAGACCTCAGTAAATGCTCCTTGCAGTTCCTGCACTCATGGGTGAGAGTGCAATGCATCTCTAAGAGAAGCGTTCAGCGTCTCCATGAAGAGCGTGGAGGCACTGGCCCAGGAAGCACCTTTTGTGGCCATCTGAGTGACTGCCACTAGAGGTGTTACTAGCAGGCAATGTAAAAGGCAATTCTCTGAAAAGGCAATGTTTAGAGTGCTAAGACTGCAGGGACATGCTAGACACCAGAACCACTACATTTAGCTGTGGTGGTTCTGGTGACCATAGTGTCTCTTTAACCTTTGCCTTACCCTCTTCCTAACCATAAATAGCATTATCACAAACCTATCATTAAGCCTTACATTACCCTAACCCTACATTAACCCTACCCTTACCACTATTTCTAACGCGAACCCCATCACTAACCCTAAGGAAAGCATCTGCTAATATTAATTCTGATATCAGAAGTTGGGTTTCCTAGTTAAAACAGAGTGTAGTCTGTGACCACTTTGACTTCCAGTGCTGCATAGAGCACATTGATCAGTCTGGAACCACTGAAAATGCTGCCCCAGATATCAACTGATACCTTGAATTCCATGGTGTGAGCAGGGATTTAACCTTGCTCAAACCAAAACTGCAAGAAGTGTCAATACGCCTTTAATGCAATATAATGCACAAAGGACATTCTAACATCCTTAAAGTGGTAAAAGAAAACACTAAATGCAAAGTAACACCAGGTTTCCATTCTCAGAGGTAAAAATTACCACTATGTGGGATACATTTGATAGGTCACTCAACTTTGCATCAGGTTTAGGTGGAAAGTGGAAAAGACAATTTAGCAACTGTTAACTCATAAGACATTACACATTTAAAATATGTTTATTCTCTTAGCACAAAAATCTATCTATAATCATGGTGTACATAGCCAGTCAATAGCTGGCTCAGACTTGGTTGTCTTGAATAGAAGACACACCATGGTGGATGTTCGGAGATTGGCTTTAGAATCTGCCGCCCATCAAGTGGTGAGAGTTCTCCTCCACATTCAAATATTGGATGTGAACAGAATAATGGAGTAAAAAACTGAAACTAACACAACCATATGTAAGTTTGTGTGCTCTAACCAATTTTTTTTTCTTTAGTGTAAACCATTAAGGGTAAGTTGCTCAGTGAATTGCAGGTGAAGAATGCATGCTATGATGGAGTTACTATGCCAGTTAATTAGAAAAGGCATTATTTTCTTAACGCGTGTCTGCAAAATAATAGAATGAATTGGTGATTTGTCTCAGTGGGGGTAGACCTGAGTAGTGTGCAGACATTAAATTCAAGTGTTTACCATGGAAAACGCTTGAGAATTTATATAAATATTTTATTAATTAAATTTATATTAATTTACATAATATCTTCTGGCTTTTGGTATTTACAATGCTTAAGGGGACACTCTAAGGACCAAAACAACTTTATATAGCTAACAGAAAAAGGTTTTCATGTATAGATCATGCCCCTACACTGTCAATGCCATTTAGGTGTTAAAGCACTTTGTTTTTGCAGTCCTAGCCACATCTCTGCTAGCTGTGACTCACACAGCTTCCCTACACACTTAAAAGATTAATTACCAAACCGGTCTCAGGAAAGAGTGTTTTGAAATTCTGATCTCCTTCTCTGTTTATTGTCTGCTAGTGCTAAGCATGGCCCAGTACTGTCTGAAATTAATGCCATCATTAAATTGATATTAGTACTGGTCCAGAGTGCAACTCTCACTAATATTAGGCAGAACAGGAAATGTATGTAAGTCTAAGATGAATAATTTAAACTTCACAGAAGTGAGCTGTTCATTATTATATGTTCATTACAGGGTATAAATGCACAGATGGCGTCACCATCTATGCGGTATTATATTCTAAAACCTGATATTTCACATGAGATTTTAACAGGCATGTCATATTACGAAATCTAATATTTCTGATTTTGTTTGTTTTAATTTTATTTTTTATTGCAGGGCTTATGTCTAACCTTGTTGTTGCTGGCTGTTTTCAAGAAGGCTCTTCCTGCTCTCCCAATTTCTATAACATTTGGTTTAGTATTCTACTTTTCAACGGACAACATAGTGAGGCCTTTTATGGACACTCTGGCCTCTAACCAACTGTACATATAGCACTCTGATCTACAGGAACACTTTTTCTAAGGCTGTAAAGTGTGGAGAATGTGAATGTATGTGCTTTTACACTCAGTGCCATATATTGTAAAGATAGATGAGATAATATTGTGAATAGCAAATGGCTAACCCAGGAACAAATTCACATTTCATTTGACATGTAATTATTTTCGTGTTATGTTATGTTGCCTTTCAGCATGTCCGAGCACACAGAGCTGGAAGTCACTGTGACGAAATTAAGATATTTTTGGGGGGATAAAGCAGGGTAGTACATTGCCATTATTGTGTGAGCTCTTTGAACCGTTTCCTAACAGTTATGTTTAAATTGTTTTAAACCATTAGCTTCCAATAAGCTACCTAGCACAGGGGTGGCTCAAAAGAAGATCCCCAGATTTTGAACTACATCTCTCATGATGCTTTGCCAGCCTTAAGCATCACGAAACGTTGTAAAACAGTTAGGCATCTACCTTTGGCAGCCCTGATCTAGCATATGATATTTTTTATTTAAAAATCTGCCATGCAAAAATTGCATATAATCCCTTTATATATAACTAAAAATATGTCCATCATCGGTGAATGCGGCACACCCAAAATGATTTGTAGGACTTTGCTAAATGCCTAGCATGGAGCCATGCAATTTATTTTTGTTTCAAATGGTTTTATTTGACAGACATGGCTACCGAATGTTAACGTTTTTTTGTAGCTGTTTTATATTTTTATTTGCATATAAATAAAACTCAACTCTCAATAAAAATATCACATGTTGTTCTTCATTGTAATAGCTACATTGCTAACAAACATAAGTTAGATTGTGTTTTTATCTAACGATTCAACCATAAACCCTTTGGTAACTTCATATTAATTATTAAAACTGTATTGTACCACCGCAGCATACTTGGCATCATTGCCAAATATGCTAGTTGGATGAGGGGGTGGGACTGGTGTAATCCATTGACTCAACACTGGTAACACACATCAATAAAAAGTATCTCTGCTAGTTTGACAGGCTGCTCAGCAAGATAGCCAACCGTGGCAGAAATAGAACAGCGGGACACAAGCCCAAACTTGAGACTGTTCCAACAAATCAGGGACTGTTGGCGAGGTATCACAGTGCAGTATGCTTAATCTTTGAATGCAATGTGCATAGAGTGTATGTGTATTTAGCCCTCACATATTACAGGAAATGAACTTAAGTGTGTAATATCATTCAGTCAATGTATTTGCTAGCATACAATATTGTAGATCAATATTTTAAGATTGTGATTATTACCGTTATAGCTACTGTGAATACAAGTTATCTAAAGGAAATGAAGAAATTATGTTAATGAATCCTGGTTGTTTACGATTCTTTTTTTTTTTTTTTTTTCATAAAATGTAGGAAGTCAAACTGTTTACAAGGCATAGAGAGGGTATCAATATATATATATATATATAAATATATAACCTTCATAGTACTGATTGCAGTACTAGGTTGGTTTTGTCTACAAATTGGTGCCTACATTTAACCCATCAAGGACACAGCTTCAAAAACTTCTTACCCTTAAGGACACAAGCCATTTTTGCTGTTTGTGTTCAAACACAATTTGCATCTCTGTCATTTATTGCACCAACACATATTATATACCATTTTAGAGGGCAAACAGGGCTTTATAATTTTATGTCACATATACATAGATAAATTCTCATTAATTATAGAAAAAATGCCAAAAATTGGGGGGGCGGGGAACACCCCAAACTTACATTTTATCACAGTTTTGGCAATAATAGTGTGTGCCTAATATGTCCAGCTTAGAAAAAGTTATTCAAAATAAATTCATTTATATGTCTTGATTTTTAAAGTACATAATATGTATAGGATTCCACCTTTTTTTGAAAGTTACAGGTCACAAAATACAAGGACTAAAATAACATTTTAATGTGAAACAATTTTACAAGTTGGTATGTTTGTCTTGTAGGTTTAGTAGCCACCACAGAAAACAAATTTTCCACACAAAAGTATATATTTATATAAAGTATACATCACAGGCTATTTACCCAAGGTTAGTTTGACACTTTTTACGTAACCATTTCATCACCAATCTCTGCTAAATATTGGAGTAAAATTGTGTTTTTTCTCTATTTTGGCATATACACATATAACAAGGTTTTTGTAATGTGTATTTCGTAAAGCTGGTGTGTGCTATTCCTGCACAGAACCCTATATTGTGTTCAGCTACATCTGCTGAGTATAAAATACCCCCATTGTATGCCTTTGGCACTATTCTGTGAAGCTACAATGCTATATAATAGACAAGGCTATTTCAGTTTCTATAGTTAGAATTTCTGTAGATGGATTTGACGGGCCTATGTCTCATTTTAGGGTATTATAGCAGTTTGACTGTTCAAATAAACCCACAAAAAGCTTTCATTTGATAAAACAGACACCCAAGGTATCTTATATGGTGTATATTGTGCCTTAACTTGTCATTTTTTCACCAATGTATGTCAATGTTTGTGGTGAGGGGATAAAAAATTGAATTTTTACATATATGTTGCATTTTTGCTGAGTGTTTCTTAACTTGATATGTACCACTGTCATAAAAAAAACAAATTATGGTCAGTTACATCTTCTGAGTAAAATAATATGCCCAATGTATGACCTAGACACTATTTTGTGAAGTTACAGTGCTGTAAAAGAGATGTGACAAGTTCAGGTTTTTAAGTGTGAATTTTCATGGAGGGTTTTGATGCAGCCGTGTCCCACTTTGCAGCACTTGAACAGGCTACATATTCCAACTACACCATAAAGGCATACCATTTCTTAAAGAAGACATCCCAGGGTATTGCAGAAGGTATATTTTGAACCTTAAAGTGGGATAATTTTTCTGCTAGCTTGTACCAAGTGTAGTGTAGTGGTAATAAGCATTTTTCTGCGGTTTTGAGACACAAAGTAAATTTGCACAGTATATTTTGCAAAACTTATGTGTGCTATGACTGTATAATACTTCATATGTTGCTCAGCTACGTTGGCTGAGTACAGCAATACCCCCGTATGTACCTTTGCCAGGTATATGCAGATGTTGAAGGGGCACATTTGAGACGCAGCCATTCAGTTTTTGTTCTAATTTTGAAGTTTTATGCTGTGTCCATGTTCCATTTTGGAGTAGTTTAGCTGGCTGGTTATTCAAACTTCCTCACAAACACATATTATTTATTAAAGAATACACCCTGGGGTAATTCAAAAGGCATATTTTGAACCTTGGTGTGGGATAATTTTTTCGCTAGTATGTTCCAAGTGTAGTGGTAATGGGCATTTTTAAATGTATTTTCTTACTTTTTAAAACTTTTTTTTTTACATTTTAAATTTTTAAAACTTTCTTAACTTTTTTTACACTTTAAAAACGTTTTTTTTTATTTTTTTATTTTTTTACCGTTAACCCCTAACTAGCAGTAAGCAGCACTAACTGTAAATTCTCCACTTTCCCATAACTAATGAAAAGCCTGCAGGGACATATTATAGACTCCAGAACCACTACAATAAGCTGTGGTGGTTCTGGTAACCATATTGTCTGTTTACTAAATTCTCATTACTCACCATGCTAGTTACCAATTCTCAGCCTAGTTTTTAGTATTTTATTTTTCCCCTGGCTGAAATTGCTGCTATTAAATCTCACCCTACCTGCCTGTAATTGTTCCCAAACATAAGCAAAACCCTTAACAGAATACATGTATGTAATATTACTGTTGTGTCGAAACTGTAGTACATGGCTAGTGCTCAGCTGCACAGCAAATAGTATTTTCAAAGAACCAGCACTCAAGTCCCTTTCCAGCATTATTATAATTTAATTTTCGATTTAATCCAATACCAATCAACGTTTCAGTTCTTATTATGAACTTTCATCAGGACATATTCGAAAATGTAATCGGAATTAAGCTGAAGAAGACCTTGAGTGCTGGCTCTTTGAAAATACTAGATATATATATATATATATATATATATATATATATATATATATATATATATACAAACACACATACACACACACAGTGCTAGTAAAAATAATACTTAACTTATATAACTTAATGATTAAAAGGATGGTCTTTTTTTACCATCCTTTTAATGATGAATTAATAAAAGTTAAGTATTATTTTTACTAGCCCTGTGAGTGTGGTCACTTTACTGTATTTTTTGCTGGACCAGCACTATAACTGTATATAGAGATAGAGAGATAGATAGATAGATAGATAGATATATATATATATAGAGAGAGAGAGAATCTGAACTTCACTCTCCCAACTTGGAGGTTACAGCCAATAGCATTCCTATCACTACTACTGGCTTCACTTTCCACATAAGTCCTTGATATTTATTGAACAAAAGAAAAGGAACCACATTAACTTAATCTTGATACCGGGTGCAATGAAGCAGGACCAGCAAGTCCAGTATACGTATAATGGTGCGTAAGAAAAAAATCTCCACTCACAAGCTTGACAAACACATCTTAGCAGGTCGAAACATTGCGTTGCCTTTTTGAGCCAATAAATCTGCCTGTGGCTTGAAGACTGAGTGCCTGGAGATTTTTTCTTATTCACTTGATATTTATACAACCTTCTGATTTTTTTCTGTTTGGAGTTGGGTTGGTTGGCCAGTGCTTGTCTGTCTGGATCTGAAATTCCCATTGGATCTTAGCCCCGTCATTCTCAACTACCCTTTGTAGTATCTGCCATCTGCTCTTAGGCAAGTCTAGCCCAAATTTTGTGCAGATGTTACGATCAGGGCCGGCCCGTCAATAAGGCAGCACAAGCAGCCACCTTAGGGCGCACCAGCCCGGGGGGGGTGCGCTAGATCAGAATGACCGGCACGAGGTCGGCACACAGCGCTCCCTCCGGCCAAGCACTCTGTGTAGCGTGGCCAAGTGGGATGGGAGGGCAAAGAACACTAAAAAATGGAAGAGAGAGGAACACTAGGACATTAAGGGGGGCACTAAGGTACAGGGGAGGGAAGGGAAAAGGAACACAGGTAGGGGGGACCATTAAGGGGAATGTGGGGCACTAAGAGGCAGGCAAGGGGGGGAGAGGAACACTAATGGCAATGGGGGGAGGGGCTGAGTGAGGAGAAAGGCACACAGATGGGCCTGGGGGTGAGAAAGTTCACAGAGGTGCTGGGGATGAAAGCGCCACACAGAAGGGCTTGGGTGTGGAAATACAAAGGGACTGGGGGGGTGAAAGACACAGGGGCTTGACAAAAGGGTAAAGAGACACAAAGGGGCTGGGAGAGAAGGAGACACACACAGGAGATGGGTGGAGCAATACACACAACGGGGGGTTGTAAGAGATACACAAGGGAGGTGTAAGACACACAATGGGTAAAAATAGGAGATAAGATACACTAAAGGGGATAAGAAATAAAAGGTGGGTTAAGGGGCACACAGGTGAAGATGCTTTTAGGAGGGGAGGGGGGTGCCAAAATCATCTTTGCCTGCGTACCTGAAAATCCTTGCACCAACCCTGGTTACGATGCACAATTCCAGCAACCTGGTTGTGCCTCTCAGTGTATGCTGTCCCTGCCAATACCTTGAACATGGCTACTGTGTGCTGGATTTTCTTGGAGGCTTCTTCTGCACCTTGGGTCCTATCTGGTGTGGTAGATTCCTTCTTCCGTTGAACTGATGCTGAGTGTCAGTTGCTTTTCTGCATCCTCTATCTCGACATTAGCTGATTATATATAAAAATATGTTATTTATATATATATATATATATATATATATACATACATACATACATACATACACACACACACACACACACACACACACACACACACACATACACACCACATTTAAATTTTTTTAAAAGATTCTGACTTGGGAAAAATAAACAATAATGGGGGTTTAGTTACAATATATGATCATACATTGCATAACTCTGCCACAACGTCAATGTACCTTATTTTTTTGACAGGTCCAATTCTAGCAACCTAATGTCTGCTCTTATGGCCTGGATTCGAAGCTTTGAGGTTGTTTGGGGTTTAGTGAGTGAGTGCACTGGATATTGTATGTTATATTAATTGGCCCCAACAGCACCATTATAATGTATGCAAATTGCAGTGAGTGCAGCACCCTTGGTTTCATATGCATGTATATATATTCCGAATTCATTCATGCTGTTTTTTTAACAGTTTAGTAACTGTATTTAGGAACCTGGTATATAGGAATTACAATTTATTTAGCTTGGATTATTACTAAATTACTGCATATGTATGTGTTTTCAGCTGTTTGGGAGAATAGTGTAATGTTATAATAATGTTTTTACTTATGTTTTATAGTTTTTTTTTATATTAAAATATAGTAATTTTTTTTAAACATTTTTTGTTAAATCCTTGTGCCCTTCAAACTGGGTTTGTTTTGCTATTTTTTTGAAGTTAAAAAGCAATTGTGAAAACCAAAGCCAATAAATGCTATCTACAGGGAGTGCAGAATTATTAGGCAAATGAGTATTTTGACCACATCATCCTCTTTATGCATGTTGTCTTACTCCAAGCTGTATAGGCTCGAAAGCCTACTACCAATTAAGCATATTAGGTGATATGCATCTCTGTAATGAGAAGGGGTGTGGTCTAATGACATCAACACCCTATATCAGGTGTGCATAATTATTAGGCAACTTCCTTTCCTTTGGCAAAATGGGTCAAAAGAAGGACTTGACAGGCTCAGAAAAGTCAAAAATAGTGAGATATCTTGCAGAGGGATGCAGCACTCTTAAAATTGCAAAGCTTCTGAAGCGTGATCATCGAACAATCAAGCGTTTCATTCAAAATAGTCAACAGGGTCGCAAGAAGCGTGTGGAAAAACCAAGGCGCAAAATAACTGCCCATGAACTGAGAAAAGTCAAGCGTGCAGCTGCCACGATGCCACTTGCCACCAGTTTGGCCATATTTCAGAGCTGCAACATCACTGGAGTGCCCAAAAGCACAAGGTGTGCAATACTCAGAGACATGGCCAAGGTAAGAAAGGCTGAAAGACGACCACCACTGAACAAGACACACAAGCTGAAACGTCAAGACTGGGCCAAGAAATATCTCAAGACTGATTTTTCTAAGGTTTTATGGACTGATGAAATGAGAGTGAGTCTTGATGGGCCAGATGGATGGGCCCGTGGCTGGATTGGTAAAGGGCAGAGAGCTCCAGTCCGACTCAGACGCCAGCAAGGTGGAGGTGGAGTACTGGTTTGGGCTGGTATCATCAAAGATGAGCTTGTGGGGCCTTTTCGGGTTGAGGATGGAGTCAAGCTCAACTCCCAGTCCTACTGCCAGTTCCTGGAAGACACCTTCTTCAAGCAGTGGTACAGGAAGAAGTCTGCATCCTTCAAGAAAAACATGATTTTCATGCAGGACAATGCTCCATCACACGCGTCCAAGTACTCCACAGCGTGGCTGGCAAGAAAGGGTATAAAAGAAGAAAATCTAATGACATGGCCTCCTTGTTCACCTGATCTGAACCCCATTGAGAACCTGTGGTCCATCATCAAATGTGAGATTTACAAGGAGGGAAAACATTACACCTCTCTGAACAGTGTCTGGGAGGCTGTGGTTGCTGCTGCACGCAATGTTGATGGTGAACAGATCAAAACACTGACAGAATCCATGGATGGCAGGCTTTTGAGTGTCCTTGCAAAGAAAGGTGGCTATATTGGTCACTGATTTGTTTTTTTTTGTTTTTGAATGTCAGAAATGTATATTTGTGAATGTTGAGATGTTATATTGGTTTCACTGGTAATAATAAATAATTGAAATGGGTATATATTTGTTTTTTGTTAAGTTGCCTAATAATTATGCACAGTAATAGTCACCTGCACACACAGATATCCCCCTAACATAGCTATAACTAAAAACAAACTAAAAACTACTTCCAAAAATATTCAGCTTTGATATTAATGAGTTTTTTGGGTTCATTGAGAACATGGTTGTTGTTCAATAATAAAATTAATCCTCAAAAATACAACTTGCCTAATAATTCTGCACTCCCTGTACTCTGTAGACCTTTCTTTCAGAAGGGCAAGCATGCTTGCAGCACAGAACCTCCATGATTACTGTACCAGCAACTGCAGAACTGGGGAGGAGGGCTTCACTGTAGGAAATATAGCCTTTGTAATCCTATTCTTGAATTGTGCTTACAAGTTACAACCTTTTTTTTTTTGTGCAGAAGCATATAGACGCATTTTATACCATATACTGTCAATTTAGTATTGGAAATCATACACATAACCAAATAAGGAAATAAGGGTTAAAGCTGAATAATAAAGTGAGATAAAAATAACACAGTTTATTGAGAATAATACATATATTATCAGCACCAAAAATGTGCAATAATAAAAAAAAAAATATATATATATATAAAAAGCCTTAATAGGCTAAAAAACCCGTAGGCATAGCAGTTCTATATAACATGTGAACTCAAAAAGTGCAAATGCTAAAGTGCAGACAACCAGACAGTGAGAGAACATCACTCCCATCACTATAGTAGATGATAAAAACAAATACTGCACACAGAATCCTTTGCAATGAAAAAACATGTAAAAAGAAACTGCTAATACCAAACTGCAGGGTCCAAATGATGCTCAAAGCGTTTTGTCTGTATGACTTCCTCAGGAGCTTCTTGCTTCTTCCCATCTTCTCTTCCTTTTAAATCTGCCGGTTCGCCGGTCCGTCCGTGACCGCACATGTGCACATCACGCGCGTCGCCATATGTCATGACGCACGCGTGCACGTTCCGCGCATGCGCGGCCACACTGGGACGCAAAAAAACTTTATTGTTCATATACACAGTAGCATCAGAGCGTCCTACAACGAGAACGCTCACATGTAATGCAAACTGTGTTTACAGACCTACCTAGCACCCAGCTAATCCCCTAACAATAACTACTAGCCCACATATAAATATAAATTGGACTTGAAGGGGTCAATAAATATAATGAATGGGAAAAAGGAGAGAACAATAAATAAAAATATATATACTTAATAGAGGTAATATAAATAATCAAAAAATATAAATAGAAAATGTAAAAAAAAATATATACAAAAAAAAAAAATATATATACACAAAAAATACATATATCAAATGTGCAAAAAATTCATGGAGGAAAAATATATATTATTATAAAAAATCTCAAAGTCCATTTATATTCAATATATAATATAGAAATATGTATGATGTCAGTCATATATGCATATAATGACAATACTTCTTAAGAGGTGGAGATAACATCAATAGGGGTAGAACGTACAGCCTAAAGACAAATGATACATATATGCAATTGTGTAACAAAAAAATGCAAATTATAAGGGTCATAATATCGTATACATAAAATTTAAATTGTATACATAAAATTAAAATAATGGAGGCATAAATAGATGATTTTAAACAGATGATTTTAAACATTGGAGGCATAGAACTTCTAAAAATGCAGAACAACAATATATTGATTTTGAAACCATACATTTACATGTTTCATATACTAGAATACATGGGAGAACAATCATAAAGATAGAGCCAGAAACAGATGTGTATAAAAAATGTATGTATTAAAAATAAAAATAAATAAATAAATAATAAAATAAAATGAAATAAAAGTTAAAATAAAAAGAGGAAGAAGTCAAAGGGGGGATAGTACACAATCAATTAATCCATAAAAGCCAATATATCCAAATCTGTATTAAATCCTGAGGGGACAGAGGATTTCATTTTATATATCCATTCTGTCTCCCTCTTGGCTAAAATCTTTTCAGTATCCCCACCCCTCCAATGTGGTATAACTTTATCAATCCCAATACAAATAAAATCCTTAAAATCAAACTCCTTACAGACGTAACAATGTTTGGGTACACTATGCGTCGCATTCTTGTTCTTAATACAATTAAAATGTTCAAGTAATCTTATGTGTAATTTTCTAATTGTACGTCCTACGTATTGAATACCACATTTACATTGTAACAAATAAACCACGAATTGGCTTTGACAATTAATAAAGTGCTTAATTTGAAAGGTTTCTTTAGTTACTGTACTGCAAAATTCCATAACCTTATTCTTCTGGAATTTGCATGTAGTGTACCTTTCACACTTAAAAAAACCTTTAGGTTTCTCTGATTACAAATTGATACCATCTTTAACAACCTCCTTTTTAGGTAAAATACTAGGGGCTAAAATACTTCTCAAGTTGTTAGGTCTCTTATATAATACTTTAGGTCTCTTAGGTAAAATATTCTTTAAAAATGTATCTTGTAATAAGATGGGTTAATTTTTTCGGATCGATTTCTCTATTAAATTAGCTTTATTATTAAACTTTGTTAAAAAAGCGAATTCTGAACAATTTTTAACATCCTTCTTTTTTCTGTTACAATGGGCATTCGTTAAAAGATCTTTTCTTTGGAGACTCTCTACTTCTCTTTGTGTGTTACGTAGAAGTTCTCTGGGATAATTTCTATCCGCAAATTTCTTATTTAAAACCTGGGCTTGCTCTCTAAAATCCTCTTTCTCCGTACAGTTTCTAAAAATTCTCATATGTTGTCCCTTAGGAATATTGGTTAACCAGTTACGATGGTGACAACTACAGAACTCAATAAAACCATTTCCATCCGTAGGTTTTAAAAAGGTCTTACTATGGATTTTCCCTTCTTTTACAAATAAGGTGAGATCTGAAAAATTAATACATGTA